ATGGCTATAAACTTGCTAAGATACACAGCTTGTCTGCGTGTTTAGTCAACAGTCCCAGAGTGGAAAATTGTGGAAGTTCTGAGTTTATTTGGGTGCTGAGAGGTTATGCAGTTCAGTGTAAGTGACTTTTTTCCATTCTAGATGCAGATTCCTCATGCATTCCAGTGCTTTGTATATCATTATCTCAGATTCCAGTCAAAAACCTTACCAAGACCAAAGGCTCACACATAATAATTTAAAAGGCACAGGAGCACACGTTCCAAATGTTCACAAAACAGATACTATAGTTCATACACAGGAGACAAGATGTACCAAAACACACACAACATGGCAAAAACACAAGAAAATACACATACATGGTTCAGGTACCGGCACTTCAGGTGCTTTGGTCTTATAAGTCTGTCGTTTGACTGTTCAGTTCAGACTTGGGCAGTTTTAATGAGTCAGCAGACATGAAGTAGGGTCAAAGAATGTGAGAGAGCATTTAAGGGCCCATTTCATGGAAAAACAGATTTTCCTCACTTTTTTGAAATTGAAGAGTTTGATGTAGTATATATGACATGCCCTTCACTGCCCAGTCCATACAGCCCATGTATGGAAACCAAGCTGCTTAGCCTACCAAAGTTTAGCCCCGCCCACTCACACTGTAAAAGGTTGTAAGGAGTGTTTCAGCTCAGAGTACTTTCTGAACAAGGCCCAACACAGGTCAGCCAATCAGAATAGAGCTCATTTACATATATCAGTCTTAGGCTACGTTCATATTACAAGCGTCGTTGCTCAAATCAGATCTCTCTGACACGATGGTTCACACTCGTTTAGGTAAGTGATTCAAATCTGTCATTAATGTGTCCTGAAATGACCCTCATGCGCTCATCCTACTCAGTAACGTCACGTGAATGAATCACGTTCATCATCAGCAAACAGACTAACGGTCAGAACGAGCTTCACTGTGAACATAATTAACTCTGATCAGCTCTAAGCTTCATTATTAGAGCGAGACGAAGGTGAAAAAGGTGAGATGAGCTGCTTTTCCACCGTTTACAGGCTTTAACTTGATTGCCGCTGCTGCCATGGTAACGCTGAATGATGGCGCACGTGCAGTGGAAAAAAAGCACATGAATTCTGATCTGAGCGTCACATTAAGGTCGCATGACCACGAATCGGATACATATCAGATCTAGGACCACATATCAAAGTGTCTCAGGTCGGATTTGAAAAGATCAGATTTGTGTGTCCACACAGCCCTGAAAACATCAGATCTGAGTCACATTAGGGCAAAAAATCAGATTTGTGCCACTTCAACCTGGTTATGTGAACGTAGCTTTAAAGGCACAGCAAGAAAAACAGCCTAGGAATTAAAGTGATTTGGAAATGGTCATGTAAAAATAAATGATGTTGTTTTTGGTATTTTAAACCTCACAAATATCGTAAGTTAACATCAGAGACAAAACACAGGCAAGAAAAACGTAGGAAACAGGCCCTTCAAAGCCTTATGTTCGCAGCCCCACCGGTTGTTTTTAAGATACTGCAACATCTATTTTCAGTTTATATCATGCATGTAGAAACATCTTTTGATGCAACATCACATCCCCTCCTATCGGCTGCACTTATCAGTGCTGCCGATTCCACTGTGAAGAGGCAGTAAACAATGGTTTAAGAGACATCGCAGCTGAGAATCTGATATGATGAAACTATGCTCACAAGTATCATGTTATCATACTGGCAGTGCATCGTGGATGAATGCCTGTAATGTCTGATTATTAGCAGCTCCACTGCCTCGCGTTCGTTTTGTACAAATATGTAGTGCATGGAAAAAAGCATTTATCTTATTATGAAAGGTGTCAACAGTTCAACCCAACGTTTCCATGCCCAAAGCCGTGGAACATTGAGCCCCTTTCAATATATCAAACCATAATTTTCAGGTTTCCTGTAAAGTGTCCAGTGTAACTCCTGACTCAGTGGAAAATCACATCTTACAGGAATCTTTACACAGCAGTTACAACGTTCAAATCAAGTATACTCGAAATACACTACTAGTACCAAAATTATTCCACACAGAACGGCTGTTTATAGAGTGAGGCTACTCAGCCCTGGTCCAAGAGGCTTGCTGGATTTTTGTCCAGACGTTCCTACGGGAGCCCAAAAAGGCTGTGGATTTGCATACGTTATTTACTGTTTTCCTGTGGTAATCATATGCCATTATCACAACATAAACAATTTTATTGAGAAAACAGGGTTTATCTGTTTTGCTTTCTCAAGATGACAATTCATTTTGAGATCTCACAAAAACAAAATAGGTTTTCCTTTTTATTACTGTTGTTGTCATTAGAAAATAGCAGTTAGAAAATAGTGTGTTTAATAATCCTGCAGAAAACTGGACTTTGTCAGTAATGCGTTTCAGCGCGTTTACATGCTTTTGAGTAATCAGATAATGGGAAAACGTCATGTGATCTAAATGTAACGTAATGCCTGAATGTCATGCTGCTTTTTTTTTAAACATTGAGTCATTTACTAGAAAATTTGAATATACATCATCTAGAAGATTTCGTCGAGCATGCAGTTGATTTCAGCTTCGCTCCAAAAGTGTTTTGTTGCCATCTTGCAGGTGCTGTGTTCAATGGTGGTTAAATTTGATACATGATAACGGTCTTAATCCCATCTAAGAAATCAGTGTGTGCTGTTTACATGACCATTTGAATAATCAGACAACTGCCGAAATCTGATAATTATCATATTATTGGTGTGCATGTGAACGCTCTCAGTGACTGTGTTTACATGCACCCAATAATCTAATCATCATTGGATTTCTGCTGATTATTCAAATGGTCAAACAGCATACTCTGATTTCTTAGATCAGAGTAAGGTCTAAAAATCCGATTAAGAAATCTGACAAAGAGAGCTGGATTTTAGCTCAGTAATCAGATTTCTCATTGCATGTAAACTCTTACTCTGATTTCTTTCGGATTTCTCAGTCTGAACATGTGCGAAAACAGACCGCCACACTTTTGAAGTGACGCTGAAACCAAACACATGCTTGATGAAATGAAGGGATTTAAATACTCTATTTTCTACATGATGTTCATATTTTCAGCTAAAGTGATTCAATGTTTTAAAAAAAGCAGAGGCATGAAGTTTGAGTTTGACGTTACGTTGATGTCACGTTTTCTTCTGTGAGTTTACTGGCTCATTACAAAGCAGAAATCCGATTATTGCCTGACTCATGTAGACCTAGAGTTTCCCTATTATCTGTTTACTCAAGTATATATAAATGCATTGACCAGATTACTGACAAAATCTGATTTTCTGCAGTTATTGGATTATTAAGTGCATGTAAATGCTCAAACAAATATAGTCTCATTTATCTTTTAAGCATAATATCTTTCAGCCCTGACACTGATTTTAACAGCACTTCTACACCATTTACGTACAGCATTTCGTCCTCATAGATATTCAAGTGCATACTGAACAAACACTCCATTAGAGGAGAAAAAATCCTCTTTGTGTCTTTGTGGGCCTTTTAGCTGCTGGTTACTATTGTTTAGCTTCCGTTTCAGTAGCCTGTTTATATGTCAGAGGGCTTTAATCTGAGGGACTGTAATGGACAGTAGCGCTGGCAGCTGAGCCTTGTGCTTGCTGTGAGGACACTTCACAGCGTGGCAGCTTTCTGTGAAATAAGGTTTCAAGTGTCTCGTCTCAGGAAGGCGTAAGTGAATTATGGTATGATCTCACAAAAAATCTCCAAAACATTACTCCATTATTTTTGGAAAAAAACTGTTCTGTTGTGATAATGACAAACATCTAGAGAAAACAAATAATAATTAACTAATTATCACAGAAAAACAAAGTAAATAATATATATGAACCCACAGCCTTATAGGGCTTCTATACATTCCTTCTAAAAATCACAAAGCATTTCGCATAAAACAATTTTCACTATGGACACAAATATAAACATTCTAGCTATAATTCTGAATATAAATGTGAATTAAATTTAAATATGTAAATCTGAATGTATAAATGTAACTCCTGAGAATATAATACAATCCTGATATAAACCTCTGTAAAGTGCCCATTTTAGTGTCTTTCCAATCTAATATGGAACAATGTGTGCTCTATCAAACAATAATAAAAGCTGCTAAAATATTTGAATGATTAATTTTATAATAAATTTAATTACAGTGTTTAGTAACTCCCTATAGACATGTTTTGATTTATTTGATTTACATAAGTCAGAGCACATGAAACATGGCTAGTACGAACTGATTGCAACCAGACCGCTATGGCAACAGTTGGTGTGTAAGATTTCTGAGACACTTTGCTTTGGGCCCCAAGCTTTTCAAACATTATTATCTTCTATTTGAGGTGAAATATATGCAAACAATCCGCAATGAATACGCTATTATTAATATGTTAATAATATAGCTGTATATTGTCTTGAGTGCATGGACCCCTAAACAGATAAATTCCAATTTACATTTCTTTAAATCAGGATTAAGTTTTTTTTTTGGTAAGATTTATTTATTTTGTGGTGTATATTCAGAATTATACCTAAATATATCCATATATATTAACATTTAAGTGTAGTTGTGCGCTTGCCCAGAAATACCACAGAATTTAAAGTCTTTGCAGACGTCTGTTAAATACTGCAAGAACAGGAACAGCGTCAGTAGCTCTGATCAGTTCAAGTCACTGTTTTTCTGAAAAAGCTCTGATCACTCTGACAAGAGTGTCACTGAGTCACTCTCGTCTTCTGTCTTCCAGGAAGATAAAGTCAAATCAGGATGCGTTTTTCAGCCTTTGACAATGACTTTCTTCCAGGTGTGGTTAAAGGCACTTTGAGGGCTCCTATTAGAGTCAGAACAGGTGTGAGAATCAGAGGAATAGCTGCTGCAAAAGCATGACAGCGGATCACCCTGCAGAAAGTACATGCTCAATGAACTGGCTCGTTCTCTGTGACTAAAAACGAAAACAGGTTAGAAGACAAAGAAAGACACAGTTACTCAGAGTGGAACTGATGTGTGAAAGCTTGAAAGGTCTATAAAGCTTGCAAGTCAATGGAAAGTTCAGAGAGAGAAACAAGGAAGCTCTCCATGCAAATTCGAGGTGTCGAGGCAAATAATAAAAATAAAAAGACAGAACCGACCATTTTTACGCACGAACCAGTCGAGTGAGTCTGTTAATTGCTCTGAGAGATTTAAAAAAAAAGGACAAGTGTTGCTCTGATTGGTGCACAAACATCACGTAGATTCAGTGTCCATTAGAAGGAGAATTCTGAGGCTCTGCTCATCCCTCGGAGTTCAGCTCATTGCTCCTTATTCTCCTCTCCTCTCTGCTGCGATGCCTCTGGATGGCTCTCCATATACGGCACAGCACCCCGCCGCTGTAAAACACACAACACTGTAAAACACTGGGTCAGTGGCAAACTGTTTGCTCTAATCTCTGCACACACAATCAAAATTTACATTAAAGGGCTGCACGTGATCTGACACCTGAACTAAAAAGCTACTTTTTGGCTTGTAGCTGCTGCAGAACAAATTCTTCCACAATAAATATGTCACTGAAGAGGCAGCGTGCCAGTCCACCTGCTGTCAGCTCTCAAAATATTTTATCGCAGACTCTACACTGTAGTTTTATCCGATTTCATACTGTTTCCATGAGTCAGATGTATTTAACCCGTTTGGAATTTCAAACAGTTCTCCCTTTAGCACACTTTATCTTCTGAACTTTTTGCTGATGTATTTTTGGCACTGTGGCGAGCCTCGACCTGTCCTTGGGTATGAAGGACAAGGCCTCTCCTGGATGCTCTTTCTGTACCCAAGCATGATTACATCACCTGTTTTAGATGTTTTCTGAACATTTCACAACACACTTGGGTCGTTCTCCATTTGGAGGGGAAAACGTGTCACAAAAGCTGCAGGGTTTAAAAAGATGCTTAAAATATTAGGCACAGCCCTGAAAGTCAGTATGTACATTTACAAAGTCGACCTAAGATTAAATAATCCTTTCCTTTATGATTTCACTGATTTTTCTTTTATCCTGTTTCATAGTCGCTCTGCAAACGTAAACACAAAAACACAAAACACAATTTTCAACATTTGAGAAGCCATTTTTAATATAAAACAATATTTTTAAAAGGTTTAACTTAGGAACTTGTATAAAAGAGATTATGAGCCTTGTAACGTTATACTACATTAAAAAAATATGTATTTTATTTTAAAAATTCATTTGTCACAGAGATTGTGGTCACTGGTGTTATCAGGACTCTTATGTTACATTTTAACACAGTATTTTTAGCTCTATTGAACTGCTTCTTTGGGTTGAGGCTCATCAGAGGACACTTGCTCACTATATTTCATTAATTTATTCATAATTTTGTTCATCAGGCAGCTCATAACTTCTATGTGTCACCGGTGTTCTGTGCTTTAATGGCTGGGTAATTTAAATTTTGTCAAAATAATGCCATATTATCATTTTTATTACTGATTTTAAATAGTTGCACAAGGTCACCTGACTGACAATGTGTCAGCCAATTTACAGAATCCTCAGTTTTAACCAGAATGTCACTGGAGTCACAGTCACTGGTGTTACACCACATTCATCAACACCAGTGACTGTAAAATATGTTTGGAATTAATCTCTCCTTTCTGCATATATGATAATAGGAGATGTTAATGGACATTTTAGGATTATTTAGTTTTGGGATGAAAGAAATTTTTTAAGAAATGTATCCACCTGAATTCCCACTCCAAATGGAGAATGACCCACCTAGGCCCAATCCCATCTTGCACCTTGGAGGTGTATCTGTGTCTGGCATGGGTAACTAGCACCATTAACACTGAACAATATATACATATTTTAGACCAACATATGCTGCCATCTAGACAACGTCTTTTCCAGGGACGTCCCTGTTTATTCCAGCATGATAACCGCAAGTCACATTCTGCAAAAAGCTGGTTTGTATTATAATAATTATAAAATGGCTCTGGTTCTCAAATCTAATATGCTGAAGTGAATTCTGTACAAATGCACCAAGTACATTGTGTATTAATGTGCCACTTTATTAAAAACATGCTGTTCATGGAAACATCTTTGACAGTTACACAATTTGCCAGCCACAGCTTACTGTTAACAACTTGTTTATTATTACTGATTATTATTAACAATAAAGTAAATTATTTATTGAACACCATTGTATTTAACCTATTGTATACTTTATCATTTTATAAAAGCAATGTCATTTGAACTATAAATTATATTGTACACCAACTTAAACATGAATGTATAAAATATACTGTAAAGTTGTTAACTGTATAATACAATTGCTGCTATTGTTCCTTAAGCAAAGCACACCTGCTAAGGAGACTGTGCCTGCAGCTGCCTACTTTGAAAAGCTTCATGACAGCATAAATGCGGTTTTTCATTAATGAAGCCACAAAACCAAGCCAGCTCGACATCACACTATTTCACAGCGCACAACCATCTATCAGCATGATTAATCACCCACTACAACTGCGATTTTGACAGTAGAGTGAAATAGTTCAGCAATACTGTCACTTCATAATCATCATGAATCAAAGCTGTTTTGTTATTATTTAACCACGCATGCATACTTAATGCATAAAGTGTGCAAAATAATTATTAATCAGAATGTAACTTTTAACAGGAGTTTTCTTTAAAGCTAACATGAAGCTTCCTTGAGGAAAATGTTTCCATTATGGAAAAAACACTGTACTTTGAAAGTAGCACAGTTGTTGTCATCACCACAGAGCATTTGGGCTCATTGTTCAGAAAGCAGACTACTATGCGGCCTTTAGAGAAATGCAGGAGAATAGCAGCACCATCTACTGGAGAAAAACTGGTAGCTTTAAGAAGATAATTGTACAGCAGCCTAAATAGCTGACATTGCAGGGCGTTGACTGTGGAAAAAAAAAAAACATTCAATGAGGAAATCATTTTAAAGGTCTTGCATTCCACATGTCTTTTAAACCCTACTTACTGCTGAAGAAACTGTTTTTTTACACTGTTATGACCTTTCACTATCACTATGATTTATGTGAGGCTATGTGCAACACTATTCATTGACAATTATTATAAACTGTTTGCAGAATTTAATTTAATGATGAATGTAACTGAATCAACAAAATGACAGCGACTTAACTAATAGTAAGATAATATATATAATTTTATCATAATAATAAAATCTGTTTTTTTTATAGAACCTACAGCATTTAAGAACTACAACATTAAAGACTAGTGCTGGGCAATTTAACAGTATTTATCATTATTATGATAAATTACAACACAAGACACAATATGCTTTTCTAAACATATTGTAGATATCGTCAGTACTTAAAAACTACTTCCCAAAGAGAGCATAATTAAACCTGTTTATCTGGATTTAGTGCAGCCCTGTGTGTAAAACGTTGAATACAAATAACTGCATTTTTTGTTTTTTTGATAGTATTTAAAAAATATTTTACTTTGTATGTTGTTACTTGTCAGATGTCAGAAAAATATTGTGAGATCTCGTATCTTAAAAAAATAACTTCACTGAATATCATGAGATGACATTCTGCCATATCGCCCACCGTTATTAATGACATTAAGTGACCAAAAAAAATTTACATTTACATTCTGTTTATATTCCGTATCCAATTTCAGTCTGCGCTTCTTTTTTCTGACATTGCCATTCGACGTGAACAACATTACAAATACACATAAAAAAATATAAAGAAATATTCTTTCTTTTGGCAAAACCTTACTTCACCTAAAATAACTTTTAATCAAATTTAAATCATGATAAAATATCTCCTCTTCTACTTACAAACAGAAACTAAGTATTTAAAATTTCTACAGAAATTTTTCCACAGAATTATTTTAAGAAACATTTTTCTAAAACGCAAGAAAAGACGTTTCAAGGCATATATGCCAGAGGTGACCTAGGAGGGTTAAACCTGTTCACGGAAACTGAACCGAGTCCTTACCGCAGCCTCATGTGTCGCAGGTCCTCCTTAGTGACATCATTCAGAACGTCATCCAGTGTATATTCCTCCATTACGAACTAGGAAAAAAACGCATTGTAATATTTCTACATTATAAACAGACAACAAATATGTTACAACGTATTATACACTATTTGACCAAAACTTTGTGGACACCTGCTCATCTAATATTTCTTCCAAAATCATGAGTATTAAAAAAGAGTTTTCCCCCCTTTACTGCAGTAACAGCTTCTACTTCTTTTGGAAAGCTTTACACTAGATGTTAGAACAGTCATGAAAATTTAATTGCATTCAGCCACAAAGGCATTAGAGAGGTGAGGAACTGATGCTGGATGATTACTTCTGAATCACAAACGTCACTTTAACTCATCCCAGAGGTTTTGGATGGAGCTCAGAGAACTCAGTTCCACTGCTCCACAGCCCAATGATGGGGGGCTTCATACCCCTCTAGCCTACGCTTTGCATTAGGCATGATGACTTTAGGTTCATGTGTGGCTGCTCCAGAGTGTCTCATTCTATTAGTCAAAGCTTTTCTGTAGAGATTATTCAAGCTGTGTGTTTATCTGAACTCCTGTGTCAGCAGTGGGTGCACTTTAATGCAGCTGAATTCACTAATAAGAAAGGGGTGTCCACAATTCTTTGGACATATCTTGTATATCACAAAAAAAGATAATTATAATAATTTAAAAGATCTCTGTGTATTCTGAAACAGAAAAACAGTACTCACCTTGTCTATGGTCACTGAATCTGCACCCTGCTCCTTCAGCCAGTCTGTCAGCTCTTTGTCTGGTTCCGGCTCTGATGGGATGCGGAATATGGAGGGAGAAGGTGTTTCTACTGAAGAGAGTAACAGCACAGTTCATTATCAATGGCTATGTTGACATGCAAAGATTTTTGCCAATCCGATTGAATACAATCCGATTACAGATTCAGACTGAGGTGTTTGTATGCACACTCTATTCAACAATTTGATGGAAAATCTTCGTTTACATGCTCACTACAAGTAATCCGATGCAAAATGACACGCACGCGTGGAGTAGCGCTTAGAGTAAACGTTACCATGACAGCGAACATCACGTGGGGTCCAGTCCGCGTGAGATGAGTTTCCAGTTGGCGCGCTGGAGTTTTAATTGCTTTAAAATGATGTCAGACTCAGGAAAACATGCTTCACATGTACTTATAAAGGAAGCGGCGAGAGGAAGACGTCGTGTTCTGAGACACATAAGCTGGAAGTTCGTTAAAGATCAGAGCATAAACTTCATCTCCTCTGCAGACCAGTTTCTGCTCCGCCAACGGTATAAACTTTCGCCATGACGCGATGCACATGCGCAGAACATACTTACACATTCTGATTGGAATGAAATCGGATTCAGGCGTTTACACAGATATTATTCTTCTATTTCACAGATTATTTAGAGGTTTACCCACCTCGTTCAAATGGATAGAAATTGTATTCCGAATGGCCTCAATGGGACTTGACTATTCCGATTGAGGTGTTTACATGGACGCATTCTATTCCGATTGAGCTATTAGTCGGATTATTAACGGATTATCAGGCTGCATGTAAACGTGGCTAATGACAGGATACCAGATATTCAAAGTGTGACACAAAGGTCTGTGGGCGAAGCTTTAGATGGTGCGGCTGTTGTTTGTATGTGCATATAACTGTTCATGTATAGTTAGTTACCTGTGGCAGTCTGGTTTCGTAGTCTGAAGAGCTCCAGGTCGTGCACCCTCTGTTGAATAGTCTGCCTCAGTATCTGCTGGTACTCTTTCTCCTTCTGCACCAGTTCCTCTAGCAGTCTGCATGGGGTAACACAAAATGGTGATTGAAAAGAGTCCAAAACTTACCCAAACACGCACTCAGACTCATTGGCCATTTTATTTGAAACATCTGTACACCTGCTCAACAGTGTAATTGTCCAATCAATCTTATGGCAGCAGCACAATGCATAAGTTTGACAGGACAGCTACAGTAACTTGAATACCCACTTTTTACAACAGGGGTGATCAGAACATTGAGGTGGATAAACCTGCTGCCATGGAAATGCACTGGCAGCTGCTCTGACTTTTTCAATAGAAAAAATGCTGTTTGGGCAGAGTCTCACTGAGCTGAAGTTGTTGGTGTTTTGCTTCATGTTCAGAGTTAAAACCAGGGCGATGATTAGAGCTGTAAGTAAAAGCGTTTTGAATTTTTAGCTTGGCTTAATTAAAAGTCATGTTTTTAGTCTTTTTTTGTGCTTTCTACGTGTTTTCTGATGGTTTTCCCAACACTTACACCTGCTCAGGGGGAGGTGTAAATATTTAGTAACTACTAAGCTCAACGTTAGAACTAATTTGTGTGATGCAACCAGTTTTGATTTAGTAATGCATAAACCTGAACTTAGTAAACACATGTTACAATTGGTGCAACCAGCCACTGGACAGTTAAAGATTGTAAAAATGCTGCCTGGTCTGATGAATCTCTGATTTCTGATGCAGTATGCAGGCAGGGTCAGAATTAGGTATAAACAGCAAGAATCCATGAACCCAAGCTGTGTTGAGTGAACAGTTCAAGCAGGTGGTGGTGTGTAATGGTGTGAGGAATGTTTTCTTGGAACACACTGAGCCCCCTAATACCAAGTGGGCACTGTCTAAATGCCATAGCCTGAGTGTTAATGCTGACCATGTGCATCCCTTTATGGCCACAGTGTACCCATCTCCTTCCCCAGTCACCAGATCTGAATCCAAGCACACCTTTAGGATGTGGCTGAACAGCAGGTTCGTAGCACGACACACACAAATCTGCTGCAATAACATGATCAGTCATGTCTACATGGAACGAAATCTTTAAGGAATGCTGTCAGCAATTTGCTGAATCCATGCCACAAAGAACTATGGCTGTCCTGGGAGCAAAGTGGGGTTCCTACCCAGTATTAAAATGTTCATATAAACAGACCACGTGTTAGAGGAAGGCACTATATAAATATTATCATTATTATTATTGTTATTAGTATGGTTGTTGTTGTTATTGAAACAGACATGAAGTACAACACAGCATGCATGTCAGTTAAGGGGGTGTGTGCATACCTGCTTGTCTCCTGTTTGAGGCGGGTGAGCTGGACTCCAAGTGGGTGCTGTGTGCGCTGGGAATCGTGGGAGATGACTGAGCTGAGGGTACTGACCCCTGAAGTGAGCCCTGTATCCTCAGGAGCAACGGGCTCCGCAGCCCCAAACTCGCCGTCCTCCTCCACGTCCACCTCATCTGCATCCTTCTCTGCCCCCTCGCTCTCAGATGCCGGGCCAAAATGAGTCTGCAGCTCTGACCCAGGCATGGACAGTGTGTGGGGGAATTAGAGCAAAGGTTCATTTACTCACAGCCAAGTACAGAGTCTTATTACAGTAACAGGCCTACTGACCCAGACCATGAAATCACACACAGGAGCACAGCGATGCAAGAGTATACAGTGTCACACACTTACACATACCTGGAATTAATATTGTGACCGCAGCCTGTACTGCCCGTCTGATGATGTTGTCCATGGCAAACATCCAGTGAGGTTTAATGTGGTGATTACGCAACACCTTATTTACCTGAGAGAGAACATTTTGTCAGATTTAGCCCACAGTGTCCAACCTACTTCTGGCTGGTATTCAATATTCCAATATTTTCAAAATATATCTTGCTATCACTTAATATTTAGCTATGTAGCAATAAAATTAATGAACCCAGCCAGCTTATGTACTTGAACATACATCAAAGAGAACACTTGGAACTAGATTTTCCAGTCGGAAATTACTATTTTATTTATTTTTTGTGCATTCTGAATTGTCTGTTCAAAAATCTAAAGCACATAACCAGAGACATGCATTTCAGTCTATTGCCAGATCTTCGACAGGTGGAAGAAGTGCACAAAATAATAAAAAAAAAACTACTCACAGCAGGGGTACTGCTGTTTTATGCATTATATAGTTATTATGGATGTAAAGCTCATAATTTGTCAATACTGCTAAAATTGAAAATCAAATTTATTGTGTGATAAACAAGATATAGACGATATATCACCCAGCACTAATCCAACCATACAAAATCAACAGTCTCACTTTGACACTCAGCCTTAACCAACAGGTCCTCAGCTATTACTTATCACTGGAACATCTAAACGGTGCTCTGGTATGCAAGACCTTGCCAAAACTTTTAGCACTGATTTTCTAGATGATAACCAAGTCAAGTGTTTCAGTAGGCTTAATCCAAATCTGGGCAACCAGCTCATAATGTTCAGGCCAACATGTTCTCAGAGATCAGTTGTCACTATTAATCTACTCAGTTTACAATATGCACCAAGGGTGCAAACCAGCTTCTGGAAACACACTCAGATGCACTGAATTCTGAACGTACTGGATTCATTTGCATTGCAGAACACACACACACACACAAACTGCTTATCCTTCTGAGTCATGGGACCAGCGGTCACTGGGCGGAAGGCAGCATACACACTGGACAGGTCACCAGTCCATCGCAGGGCAGACAGACATATACATTCACACACACACTCACACCTAGGGCCAATTTAGCATGTCCAATTGGCCTGACTGCATGTCTTTGGACTGTGTTAGGAAACCAGAGCACCCGGAGGAAACCCACACAAACACGGGGAGCAAACTCCACACAGAAAAGACCCTGGCTGCCCAGCCGGGGAACCAAACCCAGGCCCTTCTTGCTGCTGCTACCCACTGTGCCACCATGCTGCCCCCCATTACAGAACAATCTTAAGCATATTTATATTTTTTGTGATTTTATGATGTAAATATGTGTTGTCAGAATGCAACCATATCAGATATCTTGTTATTTCCATTTCAGTTTTGGATGAATTTGGAGGAATGTTTGAAAATGTTTTGATGATTTAAACTAAATTACAAAGAACGCATTCCGATGGAATGGAGATCTAGCTTCCACCTGTTCATCATATTCCATGCAAATTAATGCACAGCTGACTACAGATAATACTCACAGAGTCCTGGAAGCCAAACAGAACCAACTGGATCTGGTTGATGGAGGTGCTGTCAAAGTCAAGATCCAGTTTGAGCTTAGAGATGGTGGACGCCATGACGCGGCGCTCGGGGGAACGGATGAAGTCTCGCAAGATGCAGATGATCTGCTTGATGTGATCTACCGACAGCTTCAACTCTTCTGTGCCCTGCAGCAGAAATACAAACAACTGTCTAAGACTTACACATAACTAGGGCTGCGTAATATGAATTGAATGAATCATTTTATTGCTTCATATTGCGATTGGAACATAATGCCATTGTAATATATTAAAAATACAATGAAGAACCCCTGATGTGACATAGAACAAGACAAAGACAGGCCTACTTATTTTGACCAAAATGAGCACAGCATGTTTAACAATGATATATTGTATAGCCCTAACACACATTCACTGCTTCCAAAACATTAAATCTCACACCTGGATGTGGTTCTCCAAAAGGTTGGAGGTGACCTTGTCCTGGTCTTCATTGAGGACTTTGTAGAGGATGGCCCGTCTCTCACTGTCTTTCTTCAGCAGGAAAAGGCCGGAGTCGCTGTTCTCAGATGAGGCAGGAGAGCTGCGGTCCTCTGATGTGGGGCTCTCATCAGGAACACTGAGAAAACACACTCCAGTTAAACAACCAGGGAATGAAGAGGGGTGAATGAGTGTCATGTCTAGAGATGGCATGATACTGCAGTGTGTTTCCTGACACCGAAACCTTGAGAATCGACTGACACCAAAGCTGATCTGATATTTCTTCTTTAAAAACGATTTTACTTTAAAATGAACTATTAGCGAAGAAGTTCACTTAAGAGGTGCATTAAAAAGTATGCAATCATGCTTAAACTACTCAAACACTCTGCTACCCCACAGGAAGAAATACACAGCTAACATCATATCACATATTACATGTGAGCATATGCTATTTCAGGATAGATTTGTTACAGTATTGGACCAGATTCATTTATTTTCCCCTCCGATATCTGATCCAGTATTTTCTGCTGACACCGGCTTGATCTCTAGTCATGTCACCAAAAGAAAAGAGATACTGTTCAAAATTTGAGACCATCCTTCATTTCATTTCCAGTCAAAATGTCCATTAAGAACATGTTACTCATTTTTCAGCATGTGGAAAAATATAAAAAATCAGCAAACATTGCACACAAGCCTCAAAAACTAAATACAATATAATTTTGTTCAGTATTTTGTGTCTCTCCTGTTTTTCTTTAATGCAGCTCCTATCCGTTTCAGGAGACTTGCTTACAGTTTTGTTAGGAAATTTTCAGGTGTATTTTTTTCACACCTTTAAAGTTCTGTTTTAGAAGTTGGTTGTATTTTCAGCCTTACACATTCAGTAATGTTGAGGTCTGGGCTCTGGGGTGATGAGTCCATTCTTATGACAACATGACCAGCTTCTTTGTTTGATTCGTCTATTTCCTTTTCTCAGTAACAGCTTTTTGACAGCTACACATCCTTTCAGACCCAGTTGAGTGTTGAGTTGTCTTTTCACAGTGGAAGCGTGGACAGAAACACCTGTGGATATGTTTTTTTCAGATCCAAAGCAAGAGTGAAGCTAGATTTTTTCCTCTCTCTCAAAAAAAGAAAGCTCTAGGAGCTGTTTATCTGCTGGTGACAGTTTTGGTGGTCGACCAGGTGGTTAGGAGTCCCATTTTCTCCACACTTTTTGATAATTTTTTAACTTGTGTTTTTTTCAATTTTATGGATTATCTTATATCTAATCTCCACAAAATATCTCATGAAAAATTGATGCATCATATCAGGCCATTGAAATGGGCAGTGGAACTTAAATAAATGGAGGTTCTGACTTTTGCACAGTATTGTGTACAGGTAACGCATACTCATACTACATTAAACAGGTAGTGAGAAACATGAAGGTAGATTAGTTCATTAACTTTACTAAACTGTGTGCATCTGCATCCATGACAATCTGTTCCATGACGTTTACAGGCAAGAATCACAAACAAACGCACTAACAGGCAGATGTGATGACTATGCACAGAGGTCAACTGGCTGAGTGCTGCTGTGACGAGCATGTGTGTGAGACAGCGGGGATGACGAATGAACAAATGAACAAGAAGGACAGAATGAGCGGCTGCGTTAGGTGTGTATGTGGACAGAGGTGAGCCACTGGTCATAAAGCTATCAGGTATATGACTTTACAAGCGGTCACAGAGTACCTGCTGTAAAAGTCATTATCATGTTAGTGCCGGCTCATAGACCACACAGACACAGAGACGCACGGACGCACCACACACACACACACACTCAGAAACACCTGCCCAGACACCAGCACACAGCGCACCTGTCTCCTCATTCCTCAGTGGCAATCAAACAGCGTAACCATGGCGCTGTGGAGCCCGCAAGGCCGGATGCTGATAATTTACAGCTGGACCAAACGGCACTGCTGAAGTGCGCTGCCTGCCTCTGTAAACAGTTCTGCTTGATTAACCTTCCAGACCCAAGTCCAGGAGCAGACCAGCATCTCACACACACATGTATGTGCGCACACACACATGCCAGGACACACAGTTATCACCGCGGAGACTGAACATTACGCTTCCCAAACTCAGCGGAGATGGTTTGAATGTGCTGGATTCACAGCTATGAGCCTTTAGACTCAGTAACCTCCAGTCAGTCATTAGGCTTAATGAGGGGCGTGAACTGACTCATGACGGCTTGTTGAGCTATCATATGCATGTCTAGGGCTTGCTGCAATATTTGGGAGCCGGAATACTGGTTTAAAGCATGTGAAAGCAAAATCCTAAACTGATACATGGTCAGCACAGAGGCCTGAGGGCCTTCAAAGAGCTAAAAAACTATTTCTTGAAATAATTATTTGTAGTTCATTTTTATTTAATATAATAAGCATGACTGTAGTATTTAAATTCTGCAAGTACTGTGGAAATTCTCTAATTTCATTGTACATAATAATAAAGCTAGCTGACAACATGGATCAGACCAAATTTAAACAAGACATGTAATGTACACGAGTAATGATGTGCTCATACTGAAGGTAAGAGCTGTATGGATTACACCTAAGTACAAAACAAATGAGTCATTGTTTTATTATTGTCTGTTCCATAATCTCACTATGTACCAATGGAGAACTACGCATGTTTAATTCTTTTTCACAGTCGCTGTTGTATTTGTTGACTGAAAGAAAACTTATACTGAATAAAAATGAACTGAAACTGATGCAGTCGAACATGTGCTGTAGTGACCAGCTTGGATGATGTCTTCATGACTCACCTGAGGAAGCTGGAGGTGTTGGGCTTGATGAGGTTCTCTGAGCCTGAGCGTTTCTTCTTCTCGAAGAAAACATCGTGTTTAGAGTCGCAGTCTGGCGACACAGAGCCGTGCTCGCTGCTGCTGCTCCCTGTGGCCTCGGACTGCAACTGGACTGGCAGCGACACGCTGCGGATATAGTCTAGCCACATAAGGAAAGGTGCACAAACACACACCCATCAAAGGATAAATAGTGAAATTATTAATCAGTGTGTGTGTCATAAACTGTCAACAGTCACTTTATTGCTATGCACCAAGCCCTGCTTGAATCACAAGTCGAAAGCCTTGAGGGCGAAGTCAAATCACTTCTAGCACAGTTCCAAAGAAGTTACAGAGAAGCACTAAGGGATGGAAAAAAAGACAGAAATAACCAGAGGCCAAAAAGAGAGAAAAAGTTGTGATTAGAAGCGCATGGCCTGTTTTTTGTAAGAATATTAAAGTAGCACAAATGTGGGGCAGCACAAACCTTGCCACACTGTTACAGAGCACACCCACGCCATGCGGAGCCCATCGGTCGCCATTGGAGAGAGAAGAAGACATGCAGTTAGTAAAACATTCCCCCTGTGGGCCAAGCTTCCATACATACACTTATACATCTACAACAAACTTTTACACACTTGGAAAAGGACAAATTGCCAGGCAGTTGTCACTGAGTGAAATATAGGATGAGACTTTGCTTGGTCATTGTGTTACTGTTCCATTCCACAGAAATGGAAATAACCAGACAGCTTGAAGCTTTATGTTTGCCTACAGCAACCCCCCTTCTACACCTGTGCTGCTCAGGCCTGCATGTGTGATCTATGAGAGAGCAGAGATCTGAGAGATACCACGCTGCGTCTGCATGTGTGTGTGTGTTCTCATATATTTTCTGACTTTACAAGGCCAACCTACAAAGCCAGCATCAACAAAAAAGGGTCCTGATTTGTAAAGTTCTTTTCACCAGAATTTACATGCATCATTTTTACAAACTGAAAGCACAAAAAAGGTGTAGGGTGGGCTTAGAAAAGTCTTATTTTGTTATATATTTTAGTTCCCCTTTAAACGAGATGTAATGTAACTGTAGAATGATAGGGCTGCAGTCACGGCGGAGTTGGATGTCTCGTTGATGAGAATGGCCAGTGTAGAACGGCAAGACTTGTTCAAGGTTTCAGCTTACAGGAATGCCACTCTTTACATCAGTGGTGATCGGAAAAGCATCTCTGAACGCACAACAGGTGGATGGACTACCACAGGGGAAGAGCACACTGGGCTCCACTCCTGTCAGTCAAGAACAAAAATCTGTGGCTACAAGCTCACCGAAACTGGACAGTTTAAGAAAACAAAGATGTTGTCTCATCTTATGAATCTTGATTTCTGCTGCCTTATGCGCATTGTGGGGTCAGAATTTGTTGTAAACAGCATAAATCCATGGACGCAAACTGTCCTGTGCTGGTTGTGGTGATGTAATGGTGTAGGAAACATTTTCTTGGCACACACTGGTTTTCCTAATTTCAATCAAGCATCGTTTGAACACCACAGCCTATCTGAGGATTATTGCTAAATCCAGCATGATGTTGCACCTTGTCACAAAGGATCATCTCAAACTGTGACATGTCCATGTCCATTGTGTCCATGAACATGATAATGAATTCTGTGTACTTCAGTGGCCTTTCCGGTGTAAAGATCTAAACCCAATAGAACATCTTTGAGATGTGGTAGATCTGGAGAGTCGCATCACAAATGTGCATCAGAAAAAATCTGCTGTAATTACGTGACACAATCATGTCAACATGGACCAGAATATTTTAGGAGTGTTTTCAGCACCATGTTGAATGTCCACTCCACTACGAAATTCAGGCTGTTCAGAGAGAAAAGGGGAGGTCCTTATTATTAGAATAATGTTCCTAATAAAATGACTAGTAAGTGCATACACTAGTGGTAGGAGAAGTGAGTCTCAACTGGAAGGTTGCGGGTTCAAATCCCACAATTGACTAGGTATACGTGGTTGTGCCCTTGGGCAAAGCACTTACCCCCCACTGCCCCAGGCGGTGCCGCTCTGCTGCTCCCAGATTGGGCAGCAAAATGACAAATTTCCCTTGTAGGACCAATAAAGTACATAACATCTAAGTGTATACATTAGTGTATACATTAGAGTTAGCATGATAAATTGTTAATGCCACTAATATTTATTAATGCTATTAAGGTATTTTCCTAGGCTCTTAGGTTTCCTACATTCTAGGTTTCCTAGAATGAACAAGCTGTATGAAAGGGCTACAATCACAACTGTTTAAACTACTAACTGTATGATACAGACGATATATACACTCATTTGCTGGAACATGTTGGTGTCTGGATGAAAGCTGGAAACTGTGTTTCTGCATATCATATCACTGACAGAACTCTCATGCATTAACATGATGAAAATATAATACTTAACAGTATTTTAATGAAGCTTGATGAAGTGATAACATAAACCCTTACATTACGCAGTGTGTATGTCGTTTTCTCTTAGTGCACAATAACTGTTTATTTGCTGAGACAACGTAAAATGTAGTCTCTGCAAAAGTTATGGCCACAAAAAGTTATTTTATATTTCATGTTTTATTATTTTCCATTATAACTCAGCAAATGAACAGAAACTGTGCAGTGAACTTTACAGATAAAAGCGACATATTACTTTCCTGTAGAGGATGTGTCGGGTTGTTGTAACTCAGAAAATCAACAAAACATATAACCTAATCAGGGTTCAAGATGTTCAAACTTTTGCATTCGACTATAATAATAAACACACACAGCCCAAGATCAAGATATAAAACCCACATCTGTGTGTGCGTCTGGCTGCAAAATGGAATGAAAAATGGAAACAGGTTTTTGACAAGAACAGTGCGTGCACTCTGTTTGGATTGGGTTTCAGGTGGCTGGGGGCCAGAAAGAAGCCTCCCTTCCAATCTTTCTCTATCTCTCACTCCCACACATAAGCAGTGTGGTTCCCAGCCACTCCCAGTGCTGATCGGGTCTAGCTAGCTAGCTGGCTGGCTGCTTTTCGAGCGTGGTCTAGGCCTGTTGTGTTAGAGTCTCAGACAGTGCAGATACACAGGAATGCTCCGCTGCAGGGGTTTTGGCAGAGCTGTGCATGTGAGCCTGAGAGGAATGTTTGGTGGGCACACATGCAGCTCTGCATAGTACAGATACTGTGGAAACAGCCAGAGGACTCAAAAACAGTCTCATCAGGGTGTAAATCTTTGACCTCACAGTAATTTGACTAAATTACGATTGAGGATTTTAATTTTGCAGTAGTGGAATACAAACGGTATTTTTCTTAAGTTTTTCTTTCTTTCTCTATTTAATTTTATTTTGAAAGTATCAAAAAATATATTCTGGACAAAAAATTAATGCATATTATTATAAAAAGGAAGGATCGAACTGAATGCAAACATTATAATTATATTCAAGTACTATATATCATTATCAAGTTTCAAGTATTATAATCAATAATTCTCTATAATGGATGATTATAATTTCTTTTAATCAATTGTTATATTCTAAAATTGATTCAGCCGATGCCAGTAACAAACTAATGCATTTTTACACCACTGTGGCCTCATAATTACATTCCTACTACAGTGGTCAGGTGTTGTGGATTAGGGTTAGAGCACAGACAGGAAGGCAGATAGATTAGACTGACCACTGTCCTACATGTTAATATCTTTGTTCTAGTTGTAGACCATGTCACTGTTTATGCAGCTGGACCCTGACTTTAGTACCTGAAGGTTTTAATGCAATCTTGTTCTTCTTTCCTTTGATGTTGTGGCGCACAAACAGATCCTTGAGAAGGTCGCCAGCTGTGGCTCTTTTATTGGGATCTGGCTCAAAGCAGCGCAGGATGAAGGACTTGGCCTCAATGGACAGAGACTCTGGGATTTCAGGATGGATTTTAAACATCCCAACCTGTCATAAAGCAGATAATAAGATACTGGAATAGGCATTCTCTGACTGATGTAGTGCTTCAGTCTACAAGAAATAAGTCTGTACCTTAAACATGGCAGCCTGGGGCTCCCCCAGTTCATGGAAAGGGGGTTTTCCTGTTGCCATTTCTATGATGGTGCAGCCAAGGGACCAAATGTCAGCTGGAGCCCCATATCCCCGGGGCCCTTTATCAATGATCTCAGGGGCCATGTACTGCAGTGTGCCTACAGAAGACAGTTAACAAGAAAAATATCAGTCAGTGCAGAGATTCACCCGTCAAAGATTTGGAAATACCCATTTTTGCATTTTTCTGGTAATTTACATTGTTACTTATCAGTTAAATAATATCTGCAAAAGTTTTATTATAAAACAAATATTCACTTTAGGTACACTTTAGAACACTCTTTATAGGCCCAATAACTTTTCACCCCTCACCCCTACCACTTAGCCCTTAGCACTCCGTTTGCTTGTTCATTCTATTGTCTTAGTTTAATGATGAAGCTAGCTAAATTTCCCATTCCACCTCTTATGCTCATGGGTATATTTAGATTTTTCCATCTGAATTTATATGACCAAATCGTAAGGCAAATTAACTGCATGAAAAAAAATGTAAATTTTAATTTTATTTATTTATTTTTTGTAAAAGTTCCCCTCAAATTAACAGAAAATGTATTTTATGACCATACACATATTGCTATATGCTTACAATTTACTGCTGAAAGCCAAAAATCTTAGACGCTCTTTGTATTTTTTCATAAAAATTATTTATACAGAGCAGATCACTGAAGAGACGCCATCTGTTTATAGTATATAGCCCAGATTTGTGGAAAAATGGGTCAACTTTCAGTAGACAAAAAAAAGCTTCAGCTTTTTTTATGAAGCTGAAGTCAGCTATTCGCTCAGCTTCTCGTTCGAATTATCCCGTTCCACCGTAAATGGAATAAATAAACCATTTAAGGTGGAACGGGATAATTCGAACGGGAAGCTGGGCGAATAGCTGACTTCAGCTTCATATCACTGAAAAATCAGGGTTTGGTGAAAATAAATAATTGTCACATCCCTCCTCTTTGAAGGCACATGATACCTGTTAATGAAGTAATGTTCTCTTTATTTGAGGGTCCCATTTCGTAGGGGAAGATTTCAACCACTATCCCTTGTAACTCAGTTCCACAAGTCAAGTTGACACTCAAAAAGGGGGTAGGGGTAAAAATAAGAAATTGGATTGGACCATTGGACTGTTTTATTTCCTAAACTACTGCCAAAAGCACTTACTGAAAGGCTAGAATGCTCAACAACAAGATAAAATGCATAGGCTATGGTGTTTTCCAAAGTAGCACTTATGACCGTTGTTTTTTTAGTTTTGCACTTTTTTTTGCAAACAAAAAGGCAAGATCTGAATAGCTTTCTATTAAAATTCTTGCAAACAAAGAAAACATATTTATTAATATGAAAAAATTGTAATAAGCTAGGCCCCCAAACTTTTGACAGGCAGCAGAAATAAGATGAGAAAATGTGCACAATAAACAAAAAATAAATTAGTACAAAGTGAAGGGAAAACAATCAGCATAAAGAACGATGAGGAGAAAAAAGGAGTAAAGTGAGGGAGTAAGAGGGAGGAACGAGAGAAGGAAAGTGCACCTGCTCTGCACTCCATCAGGCGGTAATTAAACACAAACACTCTCCCATCACAGAGCCTAATTGCTTGGCTTATACAGCTGCTCTCAAGTTACTGCCACACGGACAGATGCCTCATAAACACTCCAGCCCACTCAGTTTAAAAAAGAACAGTTCTCTAAAGTCTGCCCTTCAGTTGACTTCACAGTATGACCTTTCTTACCACAGTAAGACTTTTTAAAGCTATGTTAATGACCTGTAGTCTGGATCGCTTACAGCCTCTCATTCAGTTTAACAGCATGTTCCACACAGTATCAGTGCAACTTTACCTGAAAAATTATTTTCTGATTTGAGAAGTCAAGGCGAGAGAAAGATAAGTGCCAATGACTTCAAAATCCTTTAGCAGGACAGATCATAACCCTCACTTGTGTTATGATCTTTGGTTTCCCATGGCCTTCTTTAAAACTGGTATGAGTATTATATGTAAAATTATTTCTGACTTGCAGTGCTTTGAAAGATATGATGGTGTTTTAAGGTCACTGTCAATAAAAAAAAATAGTAGACTTCGAGAGTAAAGTCGTAATATTTTGACAAAAAAGTCGTAATATTTCGAGGATAAAGTGGGCTGTCTGTAGGGGGGCTGCTGTAACGCGTTGGGTTCTCGGTTGCTGTACTGGCGCCGGAGTTCCACACACTCATTGTCTCCTTGTGGATCTATTTTGATTATAATTCTCATTGTCTGTGAAACTTCATGCCCTCTTTGAATGGCACGGAGATGTAGCCACTGACCGCCGTGTAGACGACCCTGCTTGTGATTCTCCTTCAACAAAACAGACAGATTGGGGCTTCCAAGGGCGCAGCCGTCTAAGTGTTGGCCCTATCATCAGGAGATTGCGAGTTCGATCCCCGGTGATGCTACAGCCGTCCGTAGCTGGGAGTCCAAGAAAGCACAATTGGCCTCGCTCTCTCTGGGGGGGTAGGATGGCCCCTCCTTCTCCCCCCATCACTTAACGTGATGCTAGTCAGCGCAGGCGCCTGTTAGCTGATGTAACAGATGGCGCTTTCCTCCGAGCGCGTTCAGCTGTCCAATGACGTTGCGTGAGCGGCAGTTCGAAAAGAAGAGGTGGCGCTTCACAGCTCTCGGAGGAAGCCTGTGTTAGCCTTCGCCCTCCTAGCGTTGATAGTATTGTGTGATTGGGGAGTCCTAACTAGCGGGTGGAACTGGGGAGATAATTGGGTTAAAAAAAAAATAAATAAATAAATAAACACAGTTTCCTTCTCAGCCGTTTCTTATATATAACAGGCTGGTGCTGATGTGCCAGGAGACACAGGGAGACTGAGTATTTCTTTATGGGTGAAATTGATATGAAAGTATAACCAACTCCTCAACACCCCTCACAAGGAGGTGCCTTCCCTTCACAATATTGTGACTTTTCTTGGTATTACTGCCACTTTAATGTTGTAATTTATTCAGTAAGACTTTTTTCTCAAAATATTACAACTTTATTCTCGAAGTCTACTATTTTTATTTTTATTAAAAGTGGCCCTAAAACGCCATCATAGAAAGAGGTGGAGAAGTGTAGATTCTAAACATTCAAGAAAAAACACAATTATGTCTATAATCATATCTATGCAAGTAGACAATGACATATTATTACAAGATGAATTTTAAAATTCTACCAAATTTAGGTGGTAATAGTCCCCAGTTATGGTAAAAACTCATTCCTACACAAAGTAGCGCAACACAATGATGGCAGCGTGATAAGCCAGTGTGCTCTGGCAGAGTGAGGGGCATCTGGGAGGTCTTCCAGTACTCAGACTTAGTGTCTGCATCACAGCATGTATGACTGCACAGAGACTGGACAGAACTACTGATTTAACAGATAGCAAGACTGACAAAACCAAATGGTGTCATGCCCCTGTAACATATAACAGCCAGTAAAATTAATTAATGGAAAAACAATAAGAGGAGATGACTGCTGTGTGTTTGAATGAGTCAGAATTGTTTACCTGTGAATGTCTCAGTGCAGGGGTTGACTCCAGCCAGCCTCTTAGATGTGCCGAAGTCAGAAATCTTCAGAACACCACTGTAAGTGTTAACCAAGACATTGTCTCCCTGAAAAGAAATACATACTCATACAACATGAAGCTCAACATGAAGCTAGTTTCTGAAAAATCGTGGGCACAACTTCAGAACGGACTTTGAATCACCAAGAGCTTACTGTTGATTTGTTTAATCACAGTAAAAATAACATGTGACTGAATGAAAAGTATGTGGCTGTGCATTTGTTTGCTTCCCATTGTAGTTTGTATTATAGGCTAAATAAAAATTTAAAATCTAAAACCTTTTAGGGCTTTTTATATCTGAATAATCATGATAACTGCACTGACAAATCACAATACTGAAGGTGAAGTGTAGAAGGTAGAGATGGCTGCTTTTTCGTTTTAGCGTTAAAGGGTTAAAAAGAGGTTAAAAGAAGCATCAATTCTGATCTGGTTGGTTGTAATTACCTTAATATCCCGATGGACAATCTGATTTTCATGTAGGTAGCGTAGCCCTTCCAAAATCTGACGAGTATAAAAGATGATTGTGGCCTCTTTAAGAGGACCCCACTTAGAACGGAGCAACGCTGACAGACTACCTGTGAATGAGACAGACATGACCACAATAAATCTGACCTGCACACTTTGAGTTTTATACACTGCTGTAAAAGTAAAGTCTCAGCTGTGATAAAAATATGTTTTTACTCAAAGCAGTACGAGTCAAAAGTTTGGTATCAATGTTTTCAATAATATAAAACCAGTATGAAAGTGCTTGGGAGGGTGATTTGGGTATGGAGTTGTCAGAGGATGTGTGGGATGGTATACTTGCTAGGATACACTCCTCAATCTGTGCTAGACATAGTCTGCTCTAATTTAAGTTGGTACACCACAGGCATTTATGAAAATCTAGGCTTGCCAAAATCTTTCGTGACATTAACCCATTTGTGACAACAAGCAACTTGCTCTGCCCTCCTGTTTCCTTATATTGGACTTCCATTTTTGGGGCTTTTTAAAGTTTTTACTGGTGTTCATATGCAATCCACTCCACCTATTGCTTTGTTTAGTGTCACTACAGAATTCCCGTCTTTGTAAAGAAATGGACATACATGTTTTTCTTTGGATAGCAATGATATGCTTCTCTTACAGCAGGGCCCTTAATTTTATTAAACTGAAAGAGCTTTCTTCTCGTTTTTGGCCACTGGATGACAGACATGATACAATTTCTCACTCTGGAGAAAATGAAGTACATAATGCGAGGGTCAAATGATAAGTTTTATTCTCACATTTCTGTCCTATGTGCACGGCCTTTCCTTTATTCAAATTTCATAACATTGTATATTTTCACATCAACAAACTGTTTACTTTTTTTATCAACATCTTTAAGGTCTTGAAGGCCTTTTTGCCTCCATTTTTCTCTGTGTTACTGAGTCTTTGTTTTTATTGTCTTGCGTAAATTTCAATAATTTGTTAAGCTACGCTTATCTGAAAAAATCTGTAAAAAAGCAATAAAATGCACTTTACTCAAAACTAAAACCAGTAATGGAGGCAGATAAATGTATAAAATGATTTTAATATGCTAGTCCTGTGTAAGTTAATAAATTACAATAAAATTACAAATAATCAACAGGAACCTGTAAGAAAAAAACAATCACATCTACACAAAACAAATCCTGTAAATACATAATAATCGCACATTATTTATCATTGAATAACTTATTGTTGTTACCAAAATACTGAACACCACATCTAAAAGTACATTTTATTGTGTAGTTTAGAGTATTTAAATCTGCGCTGTTATAAATTATATATAAATCAGAAAAAAATATTAATATGAATAGTGATTCAACACTGTGTAGCTCTCCAGCTTCTGCACAGTTCAATGTAGATTTCACTCAAATATAGCTAAAGCTATCCTGTGATTAAGAACTTCCAATCTATACCTACAGTTGGATAATAACATTTCACAACCATAATCGCACTATATGAAGGCTGAGACTTTATTCATCATAAACCACTAAAGGCTAAAATGTCTGAGAATCAAGGTTCTTATATACAATACAGTTTCTACAGTTTCTTCTTCCTCTAAAAGAGCACTTGCAGTGCAATCTGGACACTAGACATACATACCACCAGGAACTTGCTCCATAAAGATCTTGATGTAGCCGTCCTCAGACACAGAGCCCAGGTACTGGACGATGTTTCGGTGTTTCAGGTATTTGTGGAGTGCTATCTCCTCATGCAGAGGCTGAGAGTACCTGCACACAGTACACTGCTAATCATCAAACACTGGAAAAGAATGTTTTTACTTCTGACCACATGATGGCGCTCTTCTCACCTGCTGTCCCTCTCAGGGATCTCTTTAATGGCAATGCGTACTTGGTTACTGAGGTCTCTCCCGGCGTATACCACCCCGTATGTACCTCTGCCCAGGACCACCCTATCGCCGTTCTCATTGTAGTCATACTCATACTGCAACACAACCAAGGCACAAAGTGTGTCAGCTATATACACACAAATTAAGCACAATAAAAAACAGCCTTCAAAGACTTAATCTGCAAAATTTTGCATTCTCAAGGTTTAGTTTTAAAACTCCCATGACATTTTTTCACAACTTTAATAAAAGCATAGTTTAACATTTACCTCAGGTGTGGCGCAAAACTAAGTATTGATGTGCAGAGCTTTTGTATTACACTGCTTTTAATCTTTATTGCTAACACCAGCTCATGATAGGGAAAGTAACCATTTGACATCAAACATGGTCCTACAGACATGTATACTTAGGTTATTGACATATCGAGAATTAAAAAAAGAATCAAAACACTGTATCGAGATTTTAACTTTTGCACATTACTATATACAGTTGTATGCAAAAGTTTGAGCACCCCTAGTCTAATTACAGATTGCTGCTGATGGAAGAAAACCTCATATCTCCATTTTTGTTGTTTTTCAGTTTTTGACATAATTTGAAAGTGCCTGTTGCCCTTTAAATTGTGTGTAAATTTCATGAAGAATGGACCAAAAGAAATGGCCCAAAATTACTTGGGGAAAAAGTCTGGTTCCACTGACTTACATTAAAAGTAAAGTTTTTTTTTCCCTTTCCTGTAAAGTTAAGTTTTGGAGATACAAGGTTTTCTTCCGACAACAGCGATATATTTGCTGATTGTTAATGCATCCTTCTGCACATTTTAATGCACAATTACAATTTATTTATTTGCTGAGTCTGACATATTGGAAAAAAAATTAAACATAAAATGTGGCCTGTGCAAATTTTTTTTTTTTTAAATTCCAATATATCAGCAAATAAACAGAAATTGTGAACCAAACTTATTTTCACTCCGAATTATGGAAATTGATTAAAAAAAAAACACTGACTCCTTTAGGTTTTCTAGGACTGTGGGAACTACTGTGAAAAGCCAAGGTAGCCTCTCACCTCCAGAGTGTCCCCATCTCCCTCTCCCTCCAGCTCCACAGCGTTTCCTGACCCATCTGTGATCACCTCTTTCACCATGGAGCAAAACCTTTCATAACAGAACATAAGACAATGCAATCCTCACAACATTGTCATTATCAATGTTCATGTGTGCATGCATGAGTGTACATGAGTATTTCATTGTTTTAACTGTTTTTCTGTATAATTTGTTTTCTATTAAAGATCTGACAAACCTTTTAATTTACTTTTTCATTAGTGTGCAGGCCCTTTTAAACTATATTCAGTTTGGCCAAAGCACCTACACAACAATAATTTGGACAGTTATTCTTAGGCATGGCGAGTTTGCTCTAGATTACCAAGATGTGGTCCCACACTTCAATTCCCCCTTCATAACTACACTACATGCAGTTTAGTTTAATAGCAGTTACTGAATAATAACTGGATGGTTTGCTATGATATGATTAAATATATTTGTATGATGCAAAAATTGAGCGTCATATATAACGTAGCAAAGTTTGAAAGAAAAAAGACAGACATATAATAAAACATGGCTTAAAAAACATTAAGACTTAAGCAAATTGTCTGGCCCTAAAATTCTACTGATCACTCTTGATTGACAAGCCTCAGTTGAAGACTCGTAGCCTGCTACACGCACGCAGACATGAGTGAAAATGCTTCTACTTTTCTATAATACCACTCACAGCTGATCGTGGAATATTTTGAAGGGAAGAAATTTTGCAAACTGACTTGCAACGGCGGGATCCTATTACAGTACCATGCTTGAATAAAACAGAAACTAATGTTTGTAGACTGCAGGCAGACTGCATGGTTTGATTTTATACAGCTGTGGCAATGAGACTGAATGAAACAACTGAATTCAATGATTAAGAGGTGTGTCCCAACACTTTTATCCATACACTATACTTTGTACATGTATACTGTGTGCCGACAAGAGCAAAAGTTATTATTTTGTTATATTTTTAAAAGGTAAATTTCTACCATAGCGTGTTGTGCACCTGTTTACAGCGGAACCCACCTGCCACACTGGTCCTCCGTGGAGAAATAGATTTGAAAATCATCAGAATTATCATGTACGTACAGGAAACAGCATCGCTCATCAAATTTGGAGATGCTGGACAGAAAAAAAAATTATGCCATTATGATAAGCACTGATGACCCTGCACTGTGAGGCAGGCAAAGATAACCAGGAGCTCTGGAGAGAGTAAAGTGAGCGGATGTGTAAAGGTCACTGCCTGAGGGAAGTATAAACACACACACACACACACACAGGAGTAAGAGGGAGGAGAGAGAGAGTGAGCAAACAACTCTCACCTGATTCCTTTGATGGATGATGCTGTGAAGTTCCATTCATGGATGCCTTTCTGTGTAGAACGCATTGAGAAAACAAAGATTTATAATAGTACTTGAAATGAGTTACTTTTGCCATACTAAAAGTGATGTTTTTACTTGATTCAAATATGCACATCATATTCACATGAATACAACATAATACATCAACACAATTTTCTCTTTCAGTTTATTCACTTTTGGCAATAATTGTGCTGATGCATTTTATTAATGTTGAAATTCAGCACACATTCGAATCAAGTAAATTCAATACTGTGCACTGCTGAGGGCGGATTGCTGACCGTTTCAGCTGGAGACACATGCCAGATAGACACATTTTTCTCTTCAGCTTCACTGTTTATGGACACGTAAGAGGGCTGGTATACTTTGGTAGGCTCCAGAATCAACACCTTCAGAATGGAGAGAAAGACAGAGTGGTTACAGACATTGTTAGCGCATTAGCCTGTGCTCTCCCTGAGTGTGTGTATTTAGATCTCTGTTTGATAAACGGTAGTTTAGTACTGGGAAACGTAGGCCATTAGTGGTTCCTTGTGTTGCTTCTACGATGATGTCCATCCAGAAATTGAGTCTCTCTCTCTGAGGGGAATGCTCAGTGTTCTGCTTCTTGAAGTGCTGGATGAGCTTGAGGTTCTGCACCACTGAACGTAAATACCTGAAAGCGAGTCAGGATTCAAGAGGGATAGAAAGACTTGTCTTTATTACATATATTGTCATTTCAGAATTTTAGTATATTTACCATCAAACTACTAAAATCCAGCAGCTGAAAGCAATTCCTTATACTGGATATTTACCAGATGGGAGGTTTGAGTTTGAAGAGTTTTTCAGCAGCCTGCACTGCTTTAGGGATGTCGTTGGCCAGCATGCTGACCGTAAAGAACTGCCCCACATCCCAGTAGTTATTCATCTTCTCCAGACTGCCCTTCCGGCCCAGTAGACTGTTTAGCCTGACACCTGAGAAAGAGAGAGGTGTCATTTAACACTGGAGTGAGAAAGCCAGAAAAAGAGAGAAAGAACTCGAGATGGCACAATAGCACTTTATCAGCCAATAGCAATACTGATCCAAGATCTGTAAGTAAATACTACCACGCCTTAAAATGAACTACTTTTAATTGAAGCACTTCACTTAAAATGAAGATCTAAAAACTATCACGCTCAAACTACTGAAACTCTACTACTATTTCAGAAGAGTCTGAAATCTTCTTAGGTCTCACCTATTTTCCTGAGTTCTATGGAGCTCTCAAACTGCTGTCCAGACACGATGAGCAGCACAGCCAGGTTGATGCCGGAGTACAGTGTGGGCTGCAGTTCAAAGCCCTTCCTGTACCTGAACATCCAGCCAAAAAAAAAAAAAACCCACAATGGTGACTTAATAAATAGACAAGACATTCAGACCTCAGACATTCCAGACCAGTTTCTGTATGTGTAGATTAAAAAATGACACTCATCTGATCCCACAATCATGTGAATGAATAGTTTTAGTCAAAAAAATTACATCAAAGGTTCACCAAGGTGTTCTAATATACAGTCACTGTGAAATGGACATCAGAATGACATTTTTCCTCCATAAGGTGCTGTATTTCTGAGTAAAACAGGATAATCAGGTAGGAAATAATTATGGGGATGATTCTAATCATTGGGATTTGAGTGGATCATGAAAAGCGTTTCTTCCAAAATTTACATGGAGTCAGTGTGCTAGTCCACACTACTTGCCTCCTGCAACACGTCCGGCACGTGGACTGGGCAACAAGAACAAAATCTTGGTATAACAGGAGGTGCAGGACGAGGAGGGGGAAGGAAAATATGCTATGATATTATTGGTTAATATCATTTATTTCCTGCTCGTGTTAATACAAAGTCAGAGGGCATTAAGAAGTGGGCAAAAGCCAATCGAAGATTATGGAGAAAGAATAATTTTGTCTTTTAAATGATGTGATGAATCGTGCTTAGTAAAATTACAAGGATGTGAACAAGACAAAAAGGTCAATTTTGATTTTAGGTATATCAAGATGTATATCAAGATGGCAATATCTAGCAGGATAATCTCAAAATGGAAGTCTGTTCATATTATGCAAGCCTCGTATGTGGTATAAGCTCTCTATTTGCTCTTCTGAATCAAGCCTTAAAGCATGCTCGTTTTCACCTGTTATTTGCAATAACTGTTCTCACCACTGAATGGCGTTGTCTCTGCTTTTGGTATCCTTACAGTCGGAGTCCAAGAAAACATCCTTATAGATGCGGCCGCACAGACAGAACATGTCAGGAGCAGGGTGCTCACATGACTGAAGAACTTGCAGCATCACACGTAGCGCCTGCTCTCTGTCTCCCGGGCTGTTTCGCCTGCAAATACATAGCCACACACAAATATCAGCAGACAAAATGACTGATCTTTGAACAATGCAATATAAAGTTATAGTCACAGGCTACCTCAGTTAATGTATCAAATATTCACCTTCATTCAAGCCCGTATTTGCAAACCTACTGTTTAAATATCTTCATCTTGTAAATTTCCTTCAAGATTAATAAAGCATCTAACTGTCAGTCTTGTCTTGTAGGTCTACTGTAAGTTGTGTAAGTTTTCATGGCTTCTCCTTATATGTGTTTTTGCACAGTCCTTTTTGTAGTTGCTTTTAGTAGAGTATCTATCTATCTATCTATCTATTAGTGTATCTATCCATTTATCTATTAGGGTATCCACCCATCCATCCATCTATCTATCTATCCCAATATTCATCTATCTATTCATCCATCTATAGAGAGAGGGAAAAGAAAGAAAAGAAGAACGGATGCATCTTCTATCTCATGTATACCGATAGAAGAATGAACAGTATATCTTTGTGATTACCTATTGAGAGCGAAGGCGTAGTGGAACTGGATCATGGGCTGATTGGCGAGGTCACAAGTGGGCAACATCTCAAGTGTCTGCACCAGTTTCACCATGGCATCATAGTCCTGCAGCAGAATCCATTGGAGGAAAACAAAGGTGAGAATCAGGACATTTTTTTTTGCTTGGCTGCATCTGTGTTGAGGACTGAGCCTCACTATCTACATCAGCTACCTGTACCTGTATGTCTCTGTAGGAGAAGAGCAGATTCATAACAATATCTTGAGTAAGAACCTCAGTGTTGTCAATGCGGAGCTTGATTCGAGACAACTCCTTGGCCAGCTCCTCCCCCTGGTACTTCTCTCTGGCTTTTCTGATGTCATTCAACAGAGTGTCTTTGAATGATGCACTGTAAACAGAGATAAAAGAAGAAAAAGACATTCTTCATAGATGCATCTGCTAAATTTTTAGGCACATGAGGCTCTTTTGCGTTGCAACTTGGTCTATGTTCAGCAGCCGTCTAGACTTTTCAGGCCGAAGTGGTAACAGGGTCTATATAAAAGGGACAGAAAAAAAGTCTCAGCCCTCAGAGTTTACTTTGAAGTGATGGTTAGGTCAAAAATCGAATTTGCACAACCTTCCTTTACCCCACATATAGATGACCAGCCAAGAAAAGTTTGGTGTCTGAAGTCTGCTCTTTATTTTTGCAAATGTAGCTAGCTAGTAAAGGACACTTAAAGCCATCAGGCAAGCATTCAGCAAAATACACACCTAAATCATTCCATACGTGTTCAGCTGTTAAACAATTACAAAAGGACTTACTTATTTGGTTTCTGAATCTGTATGACATGCTGCTATCTATACAAATGGGCAAAAGAACAGACAAAATTCAGACTTCAGGATGAATATGAATACTGTTTTAGAAAATTAAGTAATTTTTGTCCTTTTATTTAACATGACAGTACATTATACAGTGATGAGTGAACCATGTGAATCAAAGAGCTTTAAAAAACATCATCTTGAAAGCTGGTTACCACAACCCTCTCATCTCATCCTTCAAAAAAAAAACAGAACAGGGCCTAGTTTCTCCACAGCACTGTAGAGTGAAAGGCACAATAACTGTTTATCACATTGCCACAATACAAATATGTAAATTCATTCTTTACAACAATTTTAATTGAATGTCCTTCAGATGGTCAAATGGCCGTTTATCACAACATGGAGTGCATATTGGAATCACATCGGTATTAGTTCTACCAAATGATGTTTTAGATATTTCAAAAGCATATTTGATGACGTATTTATTGTATTCTAGGAGGAGCAGAACATTTAGATGATTCTGGGCTACTGCGCTCAACTATCTGCAGAATCCCTTTAGAAAGCCGACATCAGCATCAGCTGACGTGTGCATGAAAAAATGGGATACTGGCATCGATCTAGAATTCCCTTTACTGATCAGTGCATCCCTACTACTGATTGCATACAAAGATCTGAGAATTAACCTCAAACCGCCAACCACCTCCTTCAGCTTTAGAGCAAATGACGTGCTGTGGTAATTACTTGTTGTTCTGCAATGACATATTGCGTATTAAAATATGAAATCAGCTTGCATAAGATGAGCTTACTGTTATAGATGTGATAGATAGAGCACTTCTGTGCTACCACACTTCCGGGAAATTCTGCACCCTGCCTTTTCTGTGTTGTAATTAAATTACTAATAACTGTGAATTGAGTTATTATGTCATCTGGATGTTTTTTGTGTATCTAAAATAAAATAAAATCTAACCTTTTAAGTACAATGATTGAAAAAAAAAACAAGCTTGAGCCTGTTGGTCCTTGACAGCAGATGCCTCCTTCTGGCAACCCGCCCAAACAACTTGTGGTTATATAGGTTATATAGGTGTTTGATTGTGGTCTGGGTGACGTTCTAACCACAAGACCTAACAAATGCCTGCATTCCCCATCTGTGATCCTTAAAGATTCTTTGTCCACTCAAACCATCCTCCTCACTAAATGTATCATCAGTATAGACATATGTCCTCTTCCTGGCAGATTCCTAACATCTCCAGTTGTTTTCAACTTTTTAATTACTGCTCTGATAGTGGAAATGGGCTGAACTTTGCATACAAAGTTGTGTCAATCTGAGAATTAACATCAAACCTCCATCCACTTCCTTCAGCTTTACAGCAAATGATGCGCTGTGGTAATTACTTGGTTGTTGTGCAATGACATACTGCATATTAAAATATGAAGACAGCTTGAATAAGATGAGCTTACTGTTGTAGACATAATAGATACAGCATTTCTGTGCCGCTGCACTTCGGGGAAATTCATCGCCCTGCCTTTTTTGGCTGCGTTGTGATAAAATGACGTAATAACTGTGGATTGAGACATTATATCATCTTGATATGTGTTTTGTGTATCAAAAATAAAACCACCCTCATGTTAAAGAAAAATTCCTAATAGGTGAATACAAAAACTAAAAATCCTAAAAATCTACCAACGAACCTGACTACACAAAATGTGCAAAATCTCCCACTCAAGAGGGTAAAAATGATATACCTCTAGAAACGTGTTAAGTGTCACCTATTTTTCTTCTTAACGGTTTATTTTTGCAAAAGCTGAATCTGGATGTTATACAGCCAGGTCCATGAATATTTGGACGTCAACACAGTTTTTGTTATTTTAGCTGTCTACCGCAGCATAGCGTAGATTAAATGAAATAATGAATATGAGCACAGACTTTCAGTTTTAAGAGGGAATTTAAATTCAAACGGGGTGAACATTATAGGAATTACAACCACTTTCATACATAACCCCCACATTTTTAGGGGCTCAAAGTTGCTGGACAATTGGCTACTTGACTATTCCATGGCCTGTTGTGTGTTACTCACTCATTATTTCACTTACAAACAAGCAGATAAAAGGTCTAGAGTTGACTGGGAAATGTGGCATTTGCATTTGCAATCTGTTGCTGTTAACTCTCAATATAAAGTCCAAAGAGCTGTCACTTCCAGTGAAACAAGCCATCATTAGACGATAAATCACAATAAACTAATCAGAGAGATAGCAAAAACACTCAACAGTGGCCAGATGAACTATTCGGTCCATTCTTAAAAAGAAAGAATGCACTGGTGAGCTCAGAAAGACCATGGAAAACAAATGTGTTGGATGACAGAAGAATTATTTTCCTGGCAAAGAAGAAACCTTCACAACTGTTTGCTAGACAGAGAACTCTCTCCAGGAGGCAGCCTTATCTGTGTCAAAGTCAACAATCAAGTCACGACTTCACCAGAGTAAATACAGAGGGTTTATCATATGTACAACATCAGTAAGCATTAAAAACTGGAAGACCAGATCTTTCAAAAACGTCTGAAAAAGTTTTGGAATAATGTATTAAGGACAGATGAGGCAAAGACCAACTTGGATCAGAACGAAGGGAAGAGAAGAAACTGCTCATGATCCAAAGCATTCCCTCTTATCTGTCAAGAATGGTGAAGGTAGTGTTAAGCCCATTTCACACCAGATGGCACGCAATACACTCCTATAACAATACAAAGAAAAGCGTTTCTGATTTTTTTTTATTGTATATTAATCATATCACCTACCCTTAGCAGCACTGATTTGACTGTCAATTGTTTCTGGCTTTAAGCTTAACATCTTCTGCAAGTAACCACACGTACTGCATTACAACACCTCCAGTCTAAGAACATGGAGTCAGTGCTTGCTTTCTCTGAGGCATGTGAAGGTAGGAGAGATTTGATCCAAGCCACACAGTGCACCTTGGATTTGTTTGGCACTCAGCATACCATTCAGCAAAACTGAAATCACCTGCGGTACTACTGGCACCAAACTATGCTTCTTTACTTTTAAGCTATGCAGTACAGGTTCATACCAGGAGGTGACGTGGATGTCTTTGAGCAGACTGACAAAGCGGTCCACCAGTGGCACACACAGAGGCCCGAGTAAGTTATCCCAGCTGGGCTGCATATACTCGGATGCTCTCCGCTGGGCCACGTTCTCGCAGCAGATGTACTCATGGTTGGGTGTCATCACGTAGGGGATGAAGTAATAGTTCCCACTGGAGGCCTAAAGGAAGAACAGGACAGATATATAAGCTCCCCGTGTCCCTGTCATCATCCTGGTTGGGCTAATCAATACTCCTTTGCATTAAAGCAGGTGTGCTGATGAAGGAATTTAGTAAATACATGCAATGACTGGGACCATTGAGGAGAAGTGAGAAACTAAACTTTGTTATTCTAACTAGCTCAAATGATAATGTTTTGCTGTAAATATCTGTTTACACATATTCTAGACATATTTTAAAATATGTTAAAACACAATGACTATCATAAATTATTTTTAATTATTTCCTTCGATGCCTAGGACTTCTGTACATGTACAGCTCATGTACGGTACATGAAAGAAACACAAATCCTTATATACATACATACATTTATATATATATATATATATATACATTTATATATATATATATATATATATATATATATATATATATACATGCACCTCCACAATTATTGCCACCCCTGGCAAACATGAGCAAAGCAGACGTACAAAAAATTCTTTATCACTTATCCTTTTAATCTTTCATTCAAAACATTAACAAAAATCATTTCCTGATTTGTGCAGCTCAATAACCTTTTGTCACACATCACTGCTGTATTCTTTGGTCTTTCTCATAGTGATGGATGATTGAGGGAATTCTCATATATATTTCTGAATGAAACAGGAAGTCATGGCTGAGCATTTCACTCTTAACAACTTCTAGGGCTGCCAACAGCTGTGGCACACATAGATAGAAAAAAAAAAAAAATTATTTCATCATAAGAATTTTTCTTTCAATCATTATACCTTAAACAAGGGTTAGATTTTTGCTAATATTTTAAATGAAGATCAAAAGTAATTAAGTTAATGCAATATATGTATTACGTCTGTTCTGAATGTCAGATATCACATGAAACTCAAGCATCCTTTTCTCTAAGCATGTTCTGAGGACAAGTGGGATAAGTGTTTCTTCAGGGATAACTTTTTGGGATTTGCACAACATTGCATTCTGTTTTTATGTATATTTTGCACAACGTCCTAACATTTTTAAAAGGGGGTTGTACTTAAAATTTAAAATCATAGTAAGAAGATTAATGTGACCTTGATATAAGAGCTATAAACACATTCAACATAATTCTGCCATATGGATATCATCAGTTCTTAAACAATGAATGATGTATGTTTCATTACAACGAGAGCATTGTATTGTTAGTTTTAAAATATGGCACTGCTGGAGTTTTTTTGTCTGTTTCAACTTACCAAACCTCAGAAATCTAAATACTGTGATGCATACTGTGTATATTGTCAAGCCTTGAAGTATCGTGGTGTTAAATTTTCACCATATCACCCACCTCTACATCATAGTGGTGAACATATTTTGATCCCCTAGTGAACTAAAAGTGATCAAATATTCACTGCTGTTCCATTTATCATTTAGACGAAACATGGCTCTTCTGTTGATCATGCACTTCTGCGTAGGCTAAGGTAGTGAGTGTAAGTTTAAGGGAAAGACAGGGATTAGATAAGGAATAATTCAGTTAAACAAAAGCTAAATGTTGCTACCAATGAATGAAAGCAAATAGCCACTAATTACCACAACGCTAACGACATCATATCAACTGGTGCCTACTAACTTCCATTCATTACTAGCACTGTTAGCATGTCTATTTCTCTGAGCACCATTTTTCACATCCATGCCATGAAACTGATGGAGTTCACCAGCATGCACTACAGAGCGGTACTACCTACTTTATTCCTCAAACCGGAGCCTCTGTACTCTGGAGGCAACTGCACCCACGGAAAGCCTACTGTAACCGGCCTTGCAGCCTACTCCAGGTAAAGCAGAGGAGAGAAAGAGTGAGGGCCAAAGAGAGGAAAAGAAAGACATGCACAGAGAAACAGACATAGGAAGACAGGCTGCACGAGAAAGAAATGCATATAAGGAAAGGAAAGTACTTTGTACAGGCCCTTCCTGTGCTTTTTTTTCATCACAATCTTGTTTGCATGTTGCTTTATTTATTTTCCATACTGTGAAAACAGTAAAGTAAAATAATAAAATAAATACATTTTTAAAACAGGGGTCTCAAACTCAAATTCAAGCTAGATGGTCTAAAAAAATAATTTAAACAATATAAAGTTTTTACACTAAATGTTTACCCAACATTATAAACTAAAATATGGGACAAAAGTATGAAATGTAATTCCATAACATGATTAAACACATACATTTCAGGAAAGTTGGGACAATTCGTAAAATGGAATAAAAATAAGAATCTGTGTCTTGTTAAATCTCTTGAACCTTTATTTTACTGACAAAAGTACAAAGAAATGGCTTTTAATGTTTGACTTACCAACATGATTGTATTTTGTAAATATAAAGAAATTATATTAAAAAAAAAAAAAGTTTGGACGGGGCAAAATAAGCATGAAATGTTTATAGAATATTTAAATTACACTGTTTTGAAACATTCCACATTAAGCAAGTGAACTGGTAACAGGTGAAAGTACAGGATGATTCACTCAAAAGAGGCCCTGAATATTCTGTAATAACTCTCACTAGGATGACGCAATCCGAAAGACACGATGTGCAATGTGCTCCTCAGTACATGGAGCTTCGAACAAGCCAGGATGCCCCTGTGTCGGAGCGATGAGGTAGGTGCCGGACAGCCGCCGCAATGTTTAAGCTCCGTTTGCAACTTCTGCGCGCATACCCCCGTACCCCTTCACTCAGCCACTCGACTTCTCATCAGGATGGTGGTGTACAGTATACAGTACGCAAGGAGCATGGCAGAAATTGAGTCCTTCTTCGGCAACAGGGTAATTTCAAAAGGGCTTTGGCCACCACGGTCGCCGGATCCTCACCACCTTATGCTCAAAGGAAAAGTCGGAACAAGCCTTGCACTGCGGAAGATTTGAAGGAAAACATCCCGATATGCTTTCCGATACGTTTAGGAACAGGGAGCATGGCGTTGAAATCTGTCTGGCAGAAAACGGAGATCAAATAGAGATCACAGCATCGCATGTAATGTAATTGATTACACATACGTCAAGGTATGTAGCGTATTTTTTTGGTTCAGATTGCTTCATCCTAACGGGAGTTACAACAGAATATTCGGGGCCTCTTTCGACTGAATCTCCCTGTATTATGATTGGGTATAAAAGGAGCATCCAACCAAGGCTCAGTCTTTGCAAGCAAAGATGGGTCGTCGCTCATGAACTTGTGCCAAACTTCGTAAGAGAAATGTCGAACAGTTCAAAAAGAACATTTTTGAAGAATTCAGGTCTTTCACTATTTACTGTTCAAATAACACTATGATAAGATTCAATGAATACAGAGAAATCTCAGTCTCTGGAGGACAAGGCAGGAGAAACCATCATACTACTGTGTTAAATACAGCCACATAGGCTCGTGAATACTTTGGAAAACCGTTGTCACTTAACACATTCTGCCGCTGCATCAAGAAACGTAACTTAAAACTCTATTATGCTAGGAGAAAGCCATAAATCAATTTATGCAGAAAAGCAGGGAAAAAACAGAAAAGCTCCTCATAGATGGTTCAAAAGGCAGTAAAAATGTGTGATGTGGTCAGATGAGTCTACATTTCAAGTTCTCTGTGCCAAAGACTAGAAAGACCATTCAGATCTTTATCAGCGAAAGGTGCAAAAGCCAACATCTGTCATGGTGTGGGTTGCATCAGTGCCCATGGCAAGGATGACGCGTATGCGTGAAGGTACCACTGATGTGAAGGTGTATATTGAGATTTTAAAGAGGCACATGCTACCATCAGGAAGATGTCTTTTCCCAGGCAGTCCATGGTTATTTCAGCAAGACAATGCCAGACCTCATTTTGCATGTAGATACATAGTGCATGTGCTTAATTGGCCTGCTTGCAGACCAGATCTGTCTCCTATTGAAAATGTATGGCGCGGCATGAAGCGAAGATTTAGACAATGACAACCACAGACTGCTGAGCAGGTGAAGTCTTGTCTCAAGCAAAAGTGGGCAAAAAATCCACTTGCAAAACTCCAACAAGTAGTATCTTCAGATTCCAAGCAATTAAAAAGTGTAATTAAGAGGAAAGGTGATGTAAAACAGTAGTACACTTGCCTCTGTCCCAACTTTTTTTAATGTGTTGCAGGCATCAAATTCTAAATTTGTTTATATTTAAAAACACAATTAAGTTGATCAGTGAAAACATTTAAAACCTTTTCTTTGTGCTCATCATTTAAATAAAGGTTCAAGAGAATTAAAAAAATCACAACAACTTTTTTTCAAGTTTGACAGAATTCACTTATTAATTCTGACAAGCTCTATCTATAACTGTGTCATGACGGAATCCCAAAGGCAGATTTAACTATCGGACCTAAATAGAATAGCTAAGTTAGTTATAGCTAAATTAAACCATACCCGTTCAGTGTGCAGAGTTTGAGCTGTGCCAGGTTTCCGATTGAATGGTTCGTTCTGCATGCAATGCTCTATTTTTGCTTTTATAATTGTGAACATGAGCCTAAACTGAATTTATATAGCTCATGTTGGGTGTCTAGCCACAGTGTCTGGTGTGTAAAACAGATCTAACAGCCAGACGTAAATAAAGATTTTTGGGATGGATTTAATGAAAAACTATAAATATGTGACAGGTCGAATGAGGCTGTCTTCCTGTTTACTTGCAGGCTGGTAGTTTGAGACGCCCGTTTTAAAACAATAAAAATGATATTAATTGACCAACAACAAACACAGCCTTTCAAATATCCCAAAACACTTTACTGGAAAAAACAAAAAATAACAAATAAAACAAAACAAACAAACAAAAACATAAAAACACCAGGTGTCTAAACACCAGTGTGTCCATCAGGCTCTGTTTCTTACTATAATAGAGAGCAGGAGTAGAATTTAAAATAAGTACTAAATAAAGCAAACTGCCATCTAATCACTGCTGATTCATAAAAAAAGCAGGAAACAGTAGATGAAAACAGAAGCAAGGAGTAACCAGTGAAGAAGAGAAAGGGAGGCATTTGTAGAAAGAAGAATGTTTTACAGATGCAAAACATGCTGGTAACACCTAATAAAAATTATTAACCCTCATATGGTGTTCGTGGCTGAGGGACCCATTTTCAACGTTTACCAAAAAAAAAAAACAATCATGCGATTTATTATTATTTCAACCTCAGATTTCTTGGTTCATTTTCTGTAAAGAACATATAAAATAACACATCTTCAGGGCCTTCACCCTGTTCACCCCCTACACATTTATATTACACATGTGGTGTTGGGCTGAACCTGCAGGGAATAGAAGTGTGGAGGTGCTGTGTCCTTCACTCTGTTCTTCTCCTACATGGCCTGCTGTTAGTGTGTGTGTGTCTGTGTGTGTACGTGTTTGTATATGTGTGTGTGTGTGAGGGTGGACAACATGGACAGGCTGCTGATTGGCTACAGCTGCTAAAGGAGAACCCTACGCTGGCCACTTGTGACATTTTAAACATCTGGTATTTTTACATAAATTGTTATGGCTGTATTGATTTAAAAAAACAATAATGCAGTGGGTCCACCAGACCACTGAGCGGGTTAAACTGATGCCAAAAGTCAAATGTACCTATTTATACCAAACTGTAATCAATGAACCAAGACATGTTTGGTGTCCAAAATTTGCTACTTTAGTTTTGCACTGGTGATTCAAGACTAACGAGGCTAATGTACGTAACAGACCTAAAAGACAATAAAGCTTACAGCTACTAGGTTATCATTGAGCAAACTGCATGCATAAATAATCATAATCTTGCTCCAAACTGCATCATGTTGTTAAGAACTCTGAAACAGACTTGCATCTGGTTTCTGACGCTAGATAACATACTGTACAGAACCACTTTTTGAACCATTGCTTTAACAATCTGAATAAGACTACATCATGAACCAAGCAGAAGTTTTCCAGTGAAGCAGCGAACAAACTACTCACAGACCATCTGTGACTGCATCAGCTAACAGTCCTGTAACTGGGTATTCAACTTAGTTATAATCTCAAGGTCAAGTCCTCTGCTTCAGAGAGCAGCTGGAGCAGTTCTCCTAGAAGTCTATTTAAAGACATGCGCTAAGCAATCGTGCCTCCAGTATCAGCCAGCCAGCTTCGCCGTCATCACTGCTAACACCTCCTAATGGACTGAGGCATCTGGACACCGAGCAAAGTCTCCAACAGGCATATCAGATCAGCTCTGGCGTTCCTCCAGGCACTTGATTTCAATTGACACATATTGACACATGACAGGTAGAAGACAGGAAATACACACCCTCTGTGCACAAACAAACTAGTGTACAGTATGTCGGTGCCAAGAAAGCTCCAAAAATAGCTACAGAGCTCAACGCACAGGAGGATTTCTATTTGACCACCCATGACGATGGCATGACAGCAGCCAAAACATAATCCTGACTCTCACATGATTTCATAATGAGTTTTACTTCATGGATTCATTCAATCATTAGCCTATTAGCATGCTGGTAGTAGGCCAATTCTGGACGACTAGCACGTTCAGTTTCAGTGAATGTGTTGTCATGTTATCAGTATTTAAAGAGAAGAAAGAAGCTATGTCAAACTCAAGAGTTCTGACAGTGGAGAATAAGCCTGGGTATCATTCAAAATTTTTCGTTACTGATACTAACGATAATAACTCAGATAATTCCCGAATGATACTTTTTCTTGTACTTTAATTTAAATTACAACCCAAATGTGGGCGTCACTTAAACCAGAAATGGGTGCGAGGTGCTGGAATGGATGCACAGCGCTATGCAAAGATTTTAGGCACCTGAGAAATTTTAGCTATGTTTACATTACAAGCCTAATTGCTCAAATCAGATTTTTTGCTCAAATTCGATCTCTCTGACACGATGGTTCACACGCATTTAGGTGATCAAATCTGTCATTAATGTGAATGAACCGGCATATTGAAATGACCTGCATGCGCACATCCTACTCAGTGACGTCACGTGAATGAATCGCATATGTCACGTGGATCATCAACAGATTAACGGTCAGAACGAGCCTTCACTGCATAACTAACTCTGATCAGCTCTCAGCTTCATTATTAGAGCGAGATGAAGGTGAAAAAGGTGAGATGTATTGCTTTTCCACCATTTACAGGCTTTAACTTCTGTTCGGCGCTGCTGTCATGGTAACGCTGAATAATGGCGTACGCGCAGTGGGAAAAAAGCACATGAATTTCGATCTGAGTGTCACATTAAGGTCGTATGGCCATGAATCGGATACGTATCCGATCTAGGACCACATATGAAAGTGACTCAGTTCGCATTTGAAAAGAACAGATTTGTGTGTCCACACAGCCCTGAAAACATCAGATCTGAGTCACATTAAAGCAAAAAATCTTTTGCCACTTCAACCTGTTTCTTCAGATTGACAGACAATATTTTATATATGGTTCTATATAGAACCTTTTTGAAAAGGTTCTTCTATTGTTACAAAGCTTGACATCATTACAACAGAAGCACCTTTGTTTCTTTTTTTTTGCTCTTCTCCTGACTGGAATCAGCAAGAACTTAAACAACATTTAACAGCTTGCTCAATGGGGATAGGCAAAACCAGACTGAATCCACGGAGTAACAATAGTGAAAGCTCTCCAGAATCAGGAAGTTTTTCTTTTATCCTCAGCTCCCATGACAATGTGTATGTGTGACTTTAGTTCCTTAGAAAACAAGACGGAAAGTTCCACCCTGATTTGATACTTACTGTGTTTTTCTGTGCCACCATGTCCTTGAGGAAAAAGAAAAAAGCATGAATCACTCATCTCGAACATCACAAATAACATTTTTGTTTCAAATTTATTCAGCATGCTCATGCGCACACAGTAGGGTTAATGAGAGCTGCAATTAATCATGCGTGGACAGAAGTACAGCAAGAAAACAAACGTTATTCTATTCTATTCTCAGCTGCGGTCTAAGCACGTGTGCCATGGTATCCCAGGCCCTTCATAGCACATTCCTTTTCTGCATCCCTTTGGCAACTTGGCTGTATGCAGCTGTCTGAGGCTGGGGCTGACATGCCTGCCGTGAGATCCAGCACATGCTGTTTAGGGCCAGGCAGATCCATGGTCACAAGCCCAGAGCAGCCAACACCTCCCAGGACTGGAAATAGCTGGCAGGCTCCACAGACATGGAGTGGTTCTTTTGCTCAGACACCAGGAATGTGTGTACCAATACACAACACACCAATCAGTTAAGTTTATCAGATACACCTACCTTGTGTGTACAATCACTGGTAATTTTATATGACACACCTATCATATAGTTGTACTACTTCTGTTGTTGCACAATTTATCAGCCCTCCACTACCCCATCCACCAATTGAAAGGGACCACCAGAGGACCACCACTGACAAGATACTCATCAATGATGCTGGGCTTTTAAAACACAGTGAGTGTAAAAATATATGTGATGCACCTACTTAAGGCACACCTACTTGTAGTTACAGACTATAGCTCATTTTTCGCACAGTTTTTGTTAGTCAGCCCTTCACCATTGGTCACTTTCTGACCACAGGACCACTCTTGGCTGAATATTTTTGTCTGGTGGACTCTCAGACCAGCAATGACACTGAGGTGTTTAAAAATCCCAGCAACACCGCTGTGCCCGATACTTGAATAACACTACCATTACGGATGAACAGTTCAGTCAAACTTATATACAGATATTTGAAAAAGTCTACTTTTTTAGCCTTAAGGACTCTTAAGGCCACTGGCTACCGCACACCAGACTCAAAAGATGCAGCATTAAATAGTGCCACTGTGTATCTCTCTATTACTGTACAATCAAACCACCAATCCACTGCAGATGACATGACCTAAACTTTACACCAAGAAAAGTGTCTAAATTCATTATGATAAACAGACAAATGCTAATTGTTTGTTACTGCATACCTTTTAGCTGTAAAACAGCAGGTTTGTGAGTTTGGGAAGACGGATAGAAGGAGGAGGGAGAACTCTGAGAACCTGGGCTGGAGTTCTGGGCAGCTTCTGCCTGTAGCTAGAAGGCCAGACCCCCCCTCATAGCTATAGTAGGACAGATGCAGGACTGCAGAACAGGGAGGAGATGGGGTGGCAGAGTGAATTGTGAACCCTTCATCACAGGAATGGCAAGTGAGGGGAGGACGTGAATTTACAGGTGTTACATTGGAAGAAGGAGGGGTTTCAGGTATGTTCCCCACCTCAAACTTCAGTTATAACAGTTATAACTACATTTTGTCAGAGTTAGCTGACAGCAAACCTAATATCTTCACTAAATGATACTGAAGGTTTTATTCCATTAAATCTGTATGGGTAAAACTAACTTGAGCATCTTGTTTATCTGTGCTTTTCTGCAACGCTTCCTATGTATTACAGCTGGGCTTTGTACTGTATCTGCTACTCAGCACCAGAGACCATCTGTCAGCGGGGCACAGAGCTTCTTGTCCAGAGTGTGCTAGCCTTTAGATGGCCAAAATAGTCCTCCTATGCTTCCTTTTTTGGGCTAAACAAGTAAGAAACTTTGAGGAAAACACAGGATGCAAGTATAAGTAAAGATACACAGGGAAAAATATCTCAGTGCAATTTTTCTAATCGATACTGTGACTGTGATTTACATTGCGATGATTTTCTTTAAATTGAAGTCCAAGCCTGTTATTGTGGCCAAGAATACCAGAACATCCACTTTTTCTGGCTTGTGACTTGAACACTGAACATGCCAGACGGCCAGTTAGTTGTGATGTTGATGTCACAGCATATAGTTGTTTGGTTGCTTCTGATTGGTCCAGCTCATCTACAGGCAGTTTACAAGCTCTGATATTAGGTTAGTGTTCCCCACTTAAGACACTGTTAATAAAATTTGGCTATAATTAATATTGCAGCTCTTGCGATTTAAAAATTGCACTCTTTTAAATTGTGATTTTGATATAAAAACAATTCTTTCAGCCCTAAGTATAGAGTTCAAACATCTCATGTTCCTTAATCATGAGAACGTATAGCTTTCGTGACTGTTCGAATATTAGAAAATTCTGTCGCATCCTAAACTACCATGTCACTGCCCCAAGACTGTTCCACCACCAAAATAACATCTAGTCAGTGGTGCTTCCATTCCATTGAAGGGTGAGGGTACAGGGGGGCTGGCAAATTGTGCAGCCACAGGCTACAGTCACTAATCGTGAGCTCACAAAGTGCACTTATACGGCAGAAGTTTCTGATAAAATGTCAAAATAAGGTGTACCTAATAAACTAGCAATACAGTGTAAGGGGCAAAGGTTGGATGGAGGCTTTGCAAAACACTATGCGTTGTTGCACAGAGAAAACAAAAAGGAGAGCATGAATGTATGTGTGCATGTCTGTGTACACAAGGCAACCTCACCTTCAGTGACTGAGCTGTGTCAGGGTCCGTGTCATGGTAAAGGATGACATTGTTGGCCATGTCGAAACTCTCACGCACACCCAGATGGTAGAAGAGCGATGGCTGTCTGAACACATCACTCATGTCCACAACTGCGATGTCTGCAAACAGGCTTGGGATCAGCAGTGTATGACATTTAACCACTACTCTATTGAATATTGCATGAAGGAGGAGTCCCATGTTGCTTTCTTCTTAAACAGTTACATATAAATGTATGAGGAATTAATTAACACAAGAGAAACAACAGATTTTCAATATGAGTTTGTATCGCTATCACTAAATAGCATCCGTTTTTAAGAGTGGGCATTAAGTCTTTATTTATTTCAGTTCAAAACTTGTGTTGTCTCTGGGGGCAAACGATCAGAACCAGCAGATTTCTCATTATTAATTTTGGCCAATCTGTGATGCAATTTAATGCCGTAAATAATGTGAAGCAGTCAAATGCACTCGCACTGTATTTGAATGCTACTGCTACACAGACATCAATATTGCAGCATAATTATGCACAGCTCATTGTGCTAAATAGCCATTTGCCTCATACTTTGGATGTAGCACTTCATCTGATTTCATGTTACTTAATTAGGCAACTGATTTCTCATTTAAGCTTGGGCCATTTAAGAGCAACTGATGTTATTTCTGTTGAAACTTTGGCTAACAGAAAATACTGTAAATGTTTACATTTAATACTGTAAAAAGTTTCAGGTTAGAATAAAAAAGGCTAATAAAAATCGGCCAACTTATCTGTGAAGATACAGAAATCGGCCATAAAAATTCAAGACTGGTGCATCACTAGTTGTGTCTAATCTCATTCTCAACTGCTTCTTGTAACATGAGCGGTCATGCCATCTAGTTCACAAATGCCATGTCATGTCATGTTCCATAATGGAGAACACATGCCATTTTAGCACAGCTCGCTGAGCTCATGTGATAAATGACAGCAGTTTAACGACTGGGGGTTAAATGTTTGCTCATGTCCTTATTGAAAGTTTCTGTTTATATCTGAGAATATGTATTATGACTTGGCATTCAGACCATATGGAAACAATAAATTAAGCATAATTCAAAGGACTGAAACAATTTGTACATATAAAGGTATAAGAAAACTTTATAAATCTATACGTTATGGAGATTTTGTTTTGTTGTGAATAAAATAGTCTCAGTGTCCTGCACAAAAACTTGATTTCATTTAAAAATGAATTTAACTTGATTACCTGAGCCAAACATTAAGATTTTATAAAGAAAAAAAATGCCCTTTACCTCTTCTGCTACCAGACAGTTGTAAGATTATGCATCTAACTGCAAAATCCAACACTGAGTGCGTTTGCATGCACTTAATAATCCAATAACTGCAGAAAATCAGATTTTGTTAGTAATCCGATTGACACGTTTACATGCACTTGAGTAATCAGATAATGGGGAAACTCCAGGTCTATGCGAGTCAGGCAGCAATCAGATTTCTGCTTTGCAACTAGCCAATACACTCAAACTTCATGCTGCATTTTTTTTTAAACCTGGAAATATGAACATACATCATTCAGAAGATGGAGAATGTTTGAATCCTTTATTTCGTGTATGGTTTCAGCGCCACTCCAAAAGTGTTTTGCTGCGTCTCGTGACATCCACCGTTCTCTCGCGCATGCGCAGACTGAGAAATCCGATAGAAATCGGAGTAAGAGTTTACATGCACTGAGAAATATGATTACTGAGCTAAAATCCAGCTCTCTTTATCAGATTTCTTAATCGGATTTCTAGATCGGAGTATGGTGTTTACATGACCATTTGAATAATGGGATAACTGCAGAAATCCGATTATGTTTGGATTATTGAGTGTATGTATACGCACTCATTGTGACCACAATCTCCCTGTTACAGTTTACATACGCAAAGCTGTCAATTTACCTCACCAATTGATCACCTGTGTACTGGTTAAGCAACTGAGGCCCGAATTAGAACAAAATGCATTAATAACATGTCCGGAAGGCCTGCTTACAGACGGAGAAAGACTTGAGTCCTGCGTCATCCGCTTTTTGTACACAGATATGCACATTCTGCCTAAAGTGTTTTAGCCATGCTAAAACGTGAGCTGTTACACTGGAAAATATTTAGAACCTGTTTAGGGAAGTGATGAATGAATAAACCAATCAATCCAGAAATTAATTACCCAAACCTTCTGCTCATCCTTTTTTGCTAATAGATTATTAATCTTTGATTAAGTCTTAATTCAAATGATCATTACTTTTCTGTGCTTTTTGCACATAACCGGCTGCTGTTATTGTCATTCCACAGCAATGGCAAGCCAACACTCATTCAGTGTCTCATTTTCTGCCAGTAAATGTTCAAACTGTTCACACAAACCCAGTCAACCCCCAGAAGCAACTTCAAGTCCCCACACGTGTGCCTTTCTGCAGAAAGCTTTGCAGCAGAGAAACGCAGGTCAGGGCATGCCTGCTCACACGGCAGGACGTTACTCACCAAAAATGTGCTAAACTGTAATTTTTGTTATTGTTAGGTAATGTATGGCATATTAAAGTTTAAATTAATGAAAGGGGCATGATAGAGCGAACACATCTGCAGGGAGGGGAGCTATGAATGATTTTAGGGGGGGCCCAGAGTTAGACACGGCCCCTGGCACATGCCAGGGATTGTACTCTGGAAAAAAGTCACTGAATTTGCATCATCGAAATGTGCACATCATTTCAACATGATTAAATATATCACTTGGTATTTTATACATGTGGTTCATGTGGTTTTATACAGTGTTCATGTCCAAGTACTAAATTTAGTGTGGCAAAAAGCAGTTTGTTGGTCTGAAGTGAAAAATTTTGCATAGTTATATCTTATCTGAACATCTAACGGCATTGATTTGTAAATTAATTTTATGAGAATATGCATTTTTACACCTTTATCACAATCAAATTTGAATGTTCTACTGTTTTGTGACCTCAATATAATACATTTAGTGATAAAAACTCACTGTGTAGCCAGATACATTAGAAATATTGAAGATATTTGTTCACAGCAAGCTCAGACAACATACGGACCTACAGAAATTTCAAATCTCAGATATGGATATTAATAAGTTAAGTAAACTCAATGCATCACATTTTAGTTTATATGCTATTTTAAGCCAATATTATGAGTAACTTTGCTTTAAAATGTTCACATGTGGTGATAAACTTCTCAGGATTCCCAGCCTACCTGCATCGTAGAAGGTGTCTAGTACGGAGGTTTCTCCAAAGTCCAGCCGGCCGAAAGTGACTGTGGTGAGGATGGCACTCTCAGCGTCGCAGGCTCTCTGGAGGCACTGCAGGGCTCCGGACTCGGGGCTGTTGGCCGCCACCGCCTTCAGCCCATCGTTCAGCACATAGACGGCGCGGAGAGACCGCTGCTTGGTCAGGGGGCTGGGGCTGCTCACCTCCGCTCTCTCCGCGGCAGCCACGGACATGTTGGGCGCATGGTCCCCTCCTCCTCCGCCTAAACCTCCGCTCTCCCCGGCCGGCTGGTTCGTTACGACCTCCATAGCGCCGAAGAGACCGCTTTGCTTTGGAAACTGTTTACCTCGACAGACGCTGACTAACCGGAGTGAGCAGCCGGCTGCCGTTCCCGTCCAGCGACTCACGCTTAATTAACTCAAGGCTCATCACTAACGATAGCCAACAGGTAACTTAAGTCCAGTTAGTTTTTTTTTTTGACCTGTTAGAGGTCAGTTTTGTCCAGCTGGAGGAAGACAAACGTCTCGCCGCTTTACCTTTAATTAAGAAGCAACCGCTAGTTAGTTAGTTAGTTAGCTAAGCTGGTTAGCAGAAGCACTTAATTAGCCTAGCCTGTTTAATTTAGTTAACTTAGTGGGAAACTAAGCAGCAAAGTGTTCTGAATATTTTCTACTTATATTTTTTTCACTTACTTTAGTATATATGTGAAGAAAGAAGCCGGTTTTGTACTTTTTGCCTTTTAACGGTACTTTGTTGGTGTTTGTTGCTGTAAATTACGTTTTCATATTGTCTCCTCAGAAAGTGACGGTTTAACCGTCAACACTGACCAACGGCTGGGCGCGTCAGGCTGTGATTCACATTACGTTTTTCTGCGAAAGGAGAAGTAAAATTGTTGAAGAAAGACGTACATTCTCGAAATGTTCCTCAGACACGACGACCCAAGTCATTCACAAGCGCATTTTCACTAACGTTACGCCGACAAAGCCGTGGTTCCTCTGCGGATTAGCCGAGCCTCTCTGTGCTGTCAGTTTCCCAGCAGTGGGGAGAGAGAGAGATAGAGAGCGACAGAGAGAGAGAGAGCGGGGAGACTCCGTGTTCAGACCCGGGCGGTGAAGCTGGCTGAATATAAAAGTGTCCGCTTTCAGTGGCGAGAGTTATTACGGTCGGTGTACACCCGCCTGAACTCCTGAACTGTGAGCTCCTTTCTTTTTTTATTATTGTCGCCAAAACAGTGCGAATCCAATACGAAAACGGGCGCAGGCAGCAGGCGCTTCCTCAGCGGGGCTGCTCTGCATGGATGCCCGCGGCAGGACACATGATACCTGCAAAATACTCCTGCCTGCAGTCGGTGGCTCCTCCTGTTACGGCTATAACATCACTGAAAAGGCTGGCGTTCACACAGCCGCTGTTCACAAAGCCTGTTTAAGACCACCTCCGCGTACGAGGAGCTGACGAAGAGCTGATGTTGAAACTCGACTTTGTGTAAGTGTTGCTCAAGTCCAAATGTTTCCTATTTTCATACAGAAAGTGGAAGAGGTACTTGCTACCTCGACTATTGAGGAAAGACATACAGCAACTCAGCAAAGTCAAAATATGGTTTAATAGTACAGAGGAAAGATAACATTAAAGGGGAACTCCACCGATTTTTCAAAAATTCTACACAATTGTTGAGGTGTAAACTATGGAAGCCTGTTTCCACCACTGGAAAAGCACAATAATGTGAAAGTTTTCCATAAATATGACTTAGCATCTCATCATATGACTTACTTTCTCAGAATGATGACTTCTCATACTTAGTTACTTTTTCAATTATGACTTAGCATCTCATAATTATTTATTACTTATTATGACCAGATCTCAAAAATTGACTTACTTTCTCATAACTATGACTTAGTATCTCAATAATGACTTAGCATCTCATGACTTACTTTCTCATAATTCTGACTCAGTATCTCATAATTCTGACTTGCTTTTTTATAATTATGACACTCATCTCATAATGGACGTAATGGAAGAACCATTTTCTTTATTAAAGAACCATCGAAGAACCACCTTTGTAAGTGTGTACTATAGGGTCTTGTTTGTTTTTCTTTCAGGTGGCAGAAGTTGGCTTCCACTGTAAACGGAGTCATTCAGAGTACACAGATTGTTCACAGTGGTGGTGATAGGAACCAGACGTCCACCTCTAAAAGCTCCCTCACAGAAAGTTATTAGAAATGGTTATGAATACACTGCCTGATGCCGGTTCAATCCCCAGAGCCCACAGTATGTGACTGAGGTGCCCTTGAGCAAGGCACCTAACCCCCAACTGCTCCCCGGGTGCCGTGAATAGGGCTGCCCACCACCCCAGGCAAGTGTGATCACTGCCCCCTAGTGTGTGTGGGTTCACTAGTGTGTATGTGGAGTTTCACTGCACAAATAGGTTAAAATGCAGAGGTGAAATTTCCCCGTTGTGGGACTAATAAGGGTCACTTATTTTATGTCTGAGATAATAGTTGTGAAATAAGGTTTTGGCCTAAAACCTATTTATTTTGACATTCATGGCACAGGGATACTGCAGAGTGTTGTAAGGCAAAATATCACCCAAAGAAAACACATTTTTTACATTCATTTCTGGTTTATCATCGCCAATATTGTATAAAAAGCTCAAAAGCTGCATGTAGGTTAACATGTAGGTCATTTTGGATAGTAAATAAAATGGCTACATTTGCATTGTAGACATCATGACCCCTGGTTCCTATCATCACCATTATAAAGAAATCAGAGTCAGTAAATTTTAATACAGTTTAACATTGAAACTGAATGACTTTAAAAACACCTAAACAATTGAATTATGCAAGATTTTTTGCCTTTTAAGTAAAACCATTGGATTTCTGCTTGCATAAATATTTCCTGTTGATTTATTTTTTTTTTACGTTTTAAGTATGTATGAAGTTTAGTTTAGGTCATTGTTTGTCAGGGACCATGTACAAAAGTATTAATCTTTGCACCAGAGTTAGCTACTGGTTAACCATTGCCTGCTTAAGTGAACAGAGTTGGGCCTTTCTGAGTAATTTTATAGATATTTCTGGATAAAAGAGTCTATTTTGTTTTATACTGTTCTACAAATTAGCCACCCATTTTTGTTTAAAATTAATATTTTGTCCCAGGTTCCATAGCTGATAGTAACACATCTTGCTTTGAAACATTCACATTTTACTTTAGTCTCACAAAGTGACAAACAATGCACAAGAAGCTTTAATTGAGATGCCAGTAGATGTTACACAATCTAAAAACTATCACTTTGATGACTTTTTTACTTGTTTTTCAGTAGGTAAGCATTTACATGATATTTTTACATGACCTTACCTAATGCATGCCTCATATTATCTATCTCTAGAACTCTAAGGCTGTTCTGTTATATGACTCATCTGCTTAGCTCATGTTTCCCCTGGTTAGCCCCCCTGTCTTCGTTACCCTGATGTGTTCCCTGACAGCGGGCTGGATCAGGCTGTTCTCGCTCCTCTCTGCAGGGAGACACAGCCATCTGCAGGCCTCACTGGGCAGCAGCCAGGCCACGAAGCCCACATTAACAGAGCCAATACAATAAAGAGCAATGAGCTGTTAAGGGTTCACCTAAGCGTGAGTCGGAAAAGAGTGCATGGGGCGGCGGGGGGCACTGGCTATGTATTGATGTTCATTATGTGTGCATGTGTTTGTGTGTTTGTGATTTATAGGGCAGGACTGGATGATGATATATTAGTCTCCACTGGGTGAACTCTGAATGACCTTAAACCAACACATTAAACCTGCCTACAAATATCTGACCTTTGCTAGCTTATATAACCCCCTTCTAGTGTCTACTAACATAAGATCTCAAATCAGTCTGGATTAAACCTAATCCATAATCTGCTGCATCTGTAACATACATTGGGTCACCAGTCTAACTGAAGTATTTCCCTGTGCTTAAGTAAAATAATAATAATAAAAAAAATCATGAACTCGAATCATCCTTATAATTGAAGTCAATTGGCAAGCATTTATAGATCTTTCCATTGACTTACATTATAGCTGCATTGTTTGTGGTAATCAGTCATATGCGACAGTGGCAGAAGATGGAGATTAAGTTGAAAAATGCTTAAATATTCCTAGAAAGGCCATTGTATGCCACTGTTTTTCCAGCTACAGAGAGGGTCTTGCAATGTAAGGCTTTGCTATATTTATTTGTAATTAGTAATTTATGATACTAAAAAGGCCCATAACCTATGTCTTTTAATTAACTTTTTTTTCTCCCTGACTTGCACTCAAAACATCCTTTTAAGTCTCAAAAATAGTCCTAATTCATTTTTACATGACCATTTTTCAACTTTATCAATAATAAACTGGCTTCTTCTGTTACTGTGACTTTAAGATTGATATATGTAAATGAGCTCTGCTGTAATTGGCTGTCCTGTAATGCATCTCATTCAAAAAGCTTTTCTGGTCTAAAACACTCATTATAATTAATAAATTAAGCATTAATGGGCATGGCGAAACTGCTGCAGGTCGAGTAGGTGGATGTAAACGTGTTGGTGTTTACATCCACCTACCCCCCCCCTTCATCACAGTAACGGAAGGTGAGGATGTGAATTTATAGGACGTTAGATTGGAAGAAGGAGGGGTTTCAGGCATGTCCCTCCCCCCCAAACCTCAGTTATCACATAACTACATTGTATGTATGGATTGTACAGACTGGGGAATGAATGGTATGACTTGAAACTTTGTTATATACGACATCAAACTCTCTTATTTTATGAAATTGATAAACATTTGGTTTTCTGTGATATGGGTCCTTTAAAAATAGATCTGAATTATAGTACAAATCCACCCTTAAGATAAAGATCATTTTGGTATATTCTTTTTTTAATAAAATTTGCACACATAAATGCATTTTAGTACATTAAAATATAAAAGTATGTATAGAAGACTTTCTCAAAAGAAGTAACAGCATCAAGAAAACAAAACGTGTGTTTTCTCATTGTCGTCACTGATGAAAAGACAGAAAAAAAAAGATATGAGTTTAGAATATTCCAAATAAAGAAGGCCTCAGTGTGGGATTGCTGCGCTAACTGCAGTTAGACACGCCCACAAGAATAATGAAAATGAAAACAAAAGGCCACAAAGGTGAGGCGAAGAAAAGAACTTAAGGTGAGCCGTACTGAAGTCAAACGCCAGTTTCTCCTTCAACGTCGCTTATGCACTGAGTGCTATGGAAAGCAGTACCACCAAAACGGTCAGGGCGATTTGTTTACTCCCCGATGTAAAATAGTCCTGCGGACCAGCCCATCATCGTGGCCCAGAAGTCCTGGGTCACATGACCCACAGCGAGGCCTTGCCCAGGCACTGTGTCTGTGCGCTCAGTCCATGCATTACAAAAAAAAAAAGCTTTAATAAAATAAAATAAAAATAACAGACCAACAAAAAGAGTAAAGCCTGAAGTGGGGGAAGCAGTTGTTTGTTTTCTCTATGCTGTTGTTCTTGGGTTATGTTGTTCCATTTGTATTCTTTTGGCACAGATTTGCGCAGCTGGGGTTCGGCTTCGAGCCTCAGCCAAATGTTGGTGTTGTACATCCAGCGCAAAGTGGGTTCATTTGGACAGGAGTTTCTTTATGTGTTCTACCTCCATCTGAAACACAAAGACAGAGTAAACAGTTACCTACACGTCTCCACAACTGCACACTCATCATTACAACATCATACAAGTGATGGTTTGACCAGAAGTCTAAGGAGTCCAATTCCATTTCACCCCTTGCCCCTACCACTTAGCCCTTAGCCCTCTGTTTTGCGTGTTCATGTTTAGGTGTAGGGTGTCCCAATTTTTGTTGAGATAGAGGGGTAGGGCGAAGTGTTAGGGCTACATGGCCCTCCAAACGGAGGTTTTTCTGATACACTCCAAACAGAGTGATATGAGAAAAAAAAGAAAAACCGGCAAGATGGCTGAACAACAGACCAAAGAAACCCACAAATGTGAGAATTTTCTCCGCTAAAAAGTTACGATACCCGTTATATAATCTTAGTTTAATGTTGTTTCAATGTAGTATGGTCCTTTTCTTCATAACAAACATAAAAGTCACCAAAGTATGCTAATGTCTCGGTAGCTAGCTAACTTTCCCGTTCCACCTTAAATAGTCCAGCAGTTCTGATGCCTGAAGTGCCCAGAATGTAACTGCCGCACCATTTAAGGTTTAACGGGAAAATTCGAACAAGAACCTGGCGAATAGCTGACTTCAGCTTTGTGTCACCGAAGAATTACCAGTGGGCGATCATAAATAATTGTCTTATACTTCTCTACATTAGTTCAGATCACAAACATACTTGGGTGATCTAATATATTTAGGGTAATGAAGAAAAAACGTGTAAATCAAAGTTATTTTCCTCCCCAAACCATTGCTTTCATTAAGTGAATGGCCACTTCGTATTATCCTCAGTGGACTCTATTTTCAGTACAGTGCATTTTTCATTGGACAGTATTTTTAACGCCCTGCATTTTTCAGAGCATATCAAAATAAGCCCCAAAGGAGTGGTGCTGAATCCCCACTCACCTGCAGGGATAAGCGAATCCTTTTCTCCTCATCCAGCTCGCTCACCAGCTGCTTCATCTCTTGTCTAGGAAGGAAGAAAAAACAGGAGAGGGGTGAGAATCTTATAAATGCAGGTCAGAAGCCTCGCAAGCATTGGCACAGCTGGAGGTATGAAGTTTGCACGGCACCCCCTTCTGGCCAGAGCTTAAATCATTTTATTTGTGTTAAAATCAAGACAGCTGAAAAGAATAAAATTATTAATTTTCTATTAAAGCTGGTAGAATAGTGTGATTATGTGGAAAATTATGTAGCGCAGTTGTTTTCGTAAACCACTGTTTGCTTGGATAATATTGTTACATTGTAATAGAAGAGACAGCAGCTACAGCGGTCCCACTTTATTTTAAGTGTCTCTAATAACTACTGATGATTTAGTCAGTGTTACAGATGGATTACAGAAGTACAGCCTATGTAATTACACATGTGTATCAACTTCAGTTTTGCCTCATGTAATTACACAAGTGTAATTTCTACAGAGGAACTTTCCTGTAGTGTAGTGTTGAAGTTACACATAAGTGGATAGTTCCTGTGTAGTTGGTATGTAGGTACTGTGTAATAATGAAGTGGTAATATAGACATTGTTTTGGGGTAATGCAACACATTTAATTCATGTCATAAACGTTACATGTTAAGATAAGGGGTCATCTGCTGTCACATATACATACAGAAAGTGGTTACAATGTCACAGCACTAGCAACATTAACGCTAGCTAAATGTTAGGAAAGCTGGCAGATACAATTTAAGTAATGTCTTAATGTAAGTTATTAGATACTTCCTTTTACTGCTGGAAAAAAAAAACATCTGAAAAAAAACTGCTGTTCAAGTGATTACAATGTAATTACATTTATGTTATTACCATTGTGTGATTATATGAGAGAGAATAGGCTGTTACAACTATTAAGATACACAAAAGGTGTACTTCTGTAATCCATCTGCAACAGTGACTAAATCATTAGTAGTTACAGTGTTGTTGCATATGTTGTTCACATGTAACTACACAATTATTAGAGACACAATATAAAGTGGGACCGCTACAGCCCTAAGTAATTTATTATTTTAGCATTATGGCAGTAGTTATTTGTTGTATAACTGGTATGAAGCCAAATTGCAGTGCAGTATGTCTTTACATGCAATAAATGAACACTCCAACCTAATCTCTATCTGCTGAAACTGTTGCACAAGACTCCCACTGGCTTTTATATTAGGTTTATTATGAGTCAAAGGATTTTTTGTTCTAAGTAGAAGGAAATTTTACGTGTTAATCAACTGTACGATACAAATGCAGCAGATTACGAGTATATGTTTAATAGTCTTGGTGTTTGTTCATATCAGTAGGCTCAATGAGTGTCTGTGTGTTTATGTAAATATATATAACATAACATTATTAATAACTTTCATTGCAAACTCAAACTCTGTCTATATCGGCAAAGAAATATCTGGTATCTCTAATGAATCTCTCCAATGCTCCCTCCCTACTTGTGCTGGCTCTTCATCAGCTCCACGGTGGCCCGCAGCTCTCTGAGCTGGTTTCTTAACTCGTCCAGCGTGGGGCCCTGCTCGCCCTTCCCCTTGGCCTCCACGGAGGGGGAGTGGGGCCTCAGGGCAGCGCTGCTGGTCTGGGCCGGTTGGAGGTGGGCCCCAGTGGAGCCGGAAGATGAGGAGAGGGTCGAAGGCTTGGGAGGAAGAGAGCTCTTCTCAGGGACCTGTAGATAAATGTCCACAGTGATTAGAACATCAGGTTGTCCATAAACAGCTACACACTTGCTCTCATGCCGCCTTCATGTGCTACCAGAATGATCATAAATAAGAGTTCCTGATGAATCTCCTGTCAAGTCCTAGTTACTAGGCCTTTTACAAGCCTTGCTGCTGAGCTTAACCCCATCATTATGGTGGAAGAAAAGACTGTTTCAGTGATTTCTTAAATGTAACTTACATTTCGTAGACACTGATTAGGCCCAGGGGTCGGCAACACGCGGCTCTTTTACTGCCCTGTTGCGGCTCCGCAGCAGAATCAGATTTAAAGCTTAAAAATAAAATAATCCTCCTTTGCAGTTAAATAAAGCTCTGCTGATCGTTAAACACAGTTTTAACAATAAATGGTCTTAAACACTGGAGTTAATGTAGAACTGCTAATTCACCCTTTGACCCTGAAGATTGGCGCACACACTGCTGGTCACCATAGCAACTCAGATAAGAATCTGGCCTAGCTAGTAGCTAACGAAACAGCAAAGAGAGAGATTTAAGACAAACATTGATGATTTGGAGATGAATGGACTTATTTGCACTGATAATCACTCCAGCTGGTTTCCTGATAATCTGCAACGAGAAACTGTCAAACACTAAAAAGTTACGAGGCTGAAGACTTCATTTGCCATCTTCGAATTCGAATCCTTCCGTTCCACCTTAAATGGTGCAGCAGTTACATTCTCACATCTCAGGCACAATTTAAGGCGGAACGGGAAAAATTAAACGAGAAGCTGGCGAATGAGAAGCGACTTCAGTCTCGTAAAAAGTTGAACGACGAGAGACATTTTACAAGAAACTGTTCTACTTTTGCGGAAAAGTTTCCTGCCAGAGATGCAAGAAAAGCGGCTATAGCTGAGCTAAAGCTTAAAGCAGAGCAAAGTAAGTCTGCGTTTTAGTTTATATGTTTAGCCTATACTAGTACATCAGCACATACTGAGACATATTTACAGCCAAGAATTGACATTAAATATTGTGGCTCCCAAGATGGTTTGATTTTTATTGAAAGGACAAAATAGTTCTTCTTAACATTTGGGTTGCCGACCCCTGGATTAGGCCATAGACACTTGCTAACATCTGTAACTACTGGTTGCATTATGTACACTTTCACAGTGGGGGGAAATGTTAGCAAGATACCCAAACCGATAAGAATAGCTAACATAAGTGGTGTTTTTACCAAACAGGCTTGGCTAGCATATCAAATAGGCTTGCTATCATACCAAATAAACTCTGCTAGCATATGAAACTGACATGACAAGCACATAAAACAAGCTTGGTTGACATATCTTCTATTTTTCTGACAACAAAGCACTTTTAGCACCTTAAGTCTGAAATAGGATCATCCGATCAGCACATGAAGGTTGCATTAGAGTAATGTGGCTCCTGCTGGCCTAACATCAGTATGAGTCCTCCCACTGGGCCTCAGTCTCCATGTGTATAAGTGTGTCTTGTCTAGGTTGCCCCCTTGTGGTAGGATGAGGGACGCGCATGCAAAAAGGTCAGGAGCACACAACAAAGGGAAGGGGTGGGTGCTGGGAGGGAGAGGGGCTTACTGTTATGACAGGCACTGCCTTGGGCATCTTCCTGGAGTTGTCAAGAGATTTGGGAGTGAACGAGTCCTGCTCCTCCTTTCCCTTCTCCCTCTCTCTCCGCTCCTCCTCTGGAGAGGGGGAGTCCAGGAGGTCAGGACTGGAGAGAGAGGACTGAGGAGGAGAGAAACAGAGAGCAGCTAGTTATAGATAACCCACAGACAGGCAGAACAGGGCGATCTCGTCCTGCAGACACAGCAGACGCTTCGCGCCTCAGCGGCCTGGCCTTCCACTGCCGATCTGAAACACTCCAACTGCCGATTACATCTGCTGTGTGTGAGCGCTCGTGCCAGTGCACATTAATGGAATAGTTTGGTGAAAAATCAAAGTTACATCATTTTCTCCTTCGCCTACTGTACTCAACCAGAAAACGCATGTGTGGTGTCTGAAGTTTGTTTCTTCATTTGACACTAATATATCTATGAAAATTAATAATGGAAATGTCTGTATATCAATTAGCACTATGCAAACTGCATGCCTTAATCATTTGCCAAGGTGTTAAAGGGAAATTTCACTGACTTTTCAAAATTTCAGCAAAATTTAACTACAGTCATTCAGAGTGGTTTGATGTGAAATGCTTCATTGTAGAGAAACTTGCTAAGTCTGATTTCTTTACAGTGGTGGTGATAGGAACCAGGGGTCGCCATGTCTATAATGCAAATATGGGCATTTTATTTATTACCCAATACACCATTAAACCTACACATGTCTTGAGTTTTTTTACTTTGCTAATGTTAAAAAAAAAAAGGAAGAAAAGAAACGATTTGGGTACTATTTTGCCTCACAGCACCATACATGTACATCTCCATCATAAAAAGGATTTAAAAAAATATATTTTATGCCAAAATCTTACCTCAAAAGTACTACAAAACAATATATCAGGCAGGTTATTAAAAGCCATTTCATGTGTTAGCTTTCTATGAGGGGGCTTTAGCAGATTCAGATGTTTGGTTCCTATCAACACCACTCTGAACGTCTTCGTTTACATCTAAACGGTTATGTTATGTACTTTATTGGTATAGGGAAATTCATCATTTTGCTATCTAACTAAGCCTAATCTGGGTCATCAGCAGAGCAGCGTCACCTGGGGCGATGGGGGGTTAAGTGCCTTGCTCAAGGTCACAACCAGATATACCTGGTCAGTTGTGGGATTTGAACCCACAACCTTCCAGTTGATGGCTCACCTCTCTTACCACCAGGCTGTTCCCCTTTAAGCAAATAATTTCCTTTAACAATTTATAATAATATTTAATATCATTCTATAAAACATCTATAAAATAACCCAAAAGCCTCAGCTTTGTCTGTTTCTGTAGTTTTTAACAGCAAATAGTTTAAGGCAAGTGTGATTTAGGACAGCACAATGCTAACTGGTGATCACAAATGTCCATTCTTACATTAAGTAAGAGACACTGTGCTGAGAAGAAATTAGTACAAATTTGATTTTTTCACCAACTATTCCCACTCTTTAAACAAAAAAAAAGGAAACAAAATTAAAAACAGCGCATGTGCATTAGCGTGTAAGTGTGGGAACTGCCGTTGTTTGTGTACTCACAGACGTGAAGATCTGTGAGCGTGGCCGGCGGTCCATCACGCGGGGTCTGGATGCTGTGGGGTGGTACAGCTTCTCTGTGGATGAGATGACGCAGTCGAAGTCGTCCACATCTTCCACCCAGCAGAAACACACATACGGACAGGCACGGGACCACACACATAGCACATAGATACCACACAGCATTACCAACAGAGAAAATAAACAGCACCTCCACACGTCAGACTTTATGTATGTGATGTCACCAGCTGTAAGTGGAACTGTACAGATGCTTTTATGGAGAGTGATATGATCTTCAGTGGAGAATGAATGGACTTGGAATGGAATGGAAATGCAATATGCTTTTGTCACAGAAAAGCATTTGTTTTACTCACCTACATCATTGGGTTTGTCTGTAAAGGGCCGATCTGGAGTAACACCAGGACTATCACACCTGCATGGCCAACAAAATATGGCTAGGAATTTATATACAGGTAATGGAAACGATTATTAACTTATGCAAAGGTTTGAGTGCCTCTGGTCAATAATTGCTAAACAAAAATGAAACATAAATGTAGCATTTTGCTGCTGTCGGAACAAAACCTCATATCTCCATTTGTGTTGTTTTTCAGTTTTTGACGTAGTATGAAAATACCTGCTGCCCTATACATTGTGTGTAAATTTCATGATGAATGGACCAAAAGAAACAGCCCAAAATTACTTAGAAATAAAGCTAATTCCATTGACCTACATTAAAAGTAATGTTAGTTTTTTCCTTCTCCTGTAAAGTTAACTTTTTGGAGATATAAAAGGTTTTGATCCGACAACAGCAAATGTGCAAACATTAAGGCACATTTTATATTCTGTACTCTATAATGTTTTTCCCAATATATTAAAGCAAACAGACAGAACAAATAGATAATAAATCTAATAGAGAGAAATTGTGCACTACAGTTTGCAGAAATTAAGTGTGTTATCTGTAGAGGGTTTTCAACAAAACATGTAATTCGAACTTTTACATGTGATTGTGTACGTTGCCTCTGTAACCTTTTATTATAATTTTAGCTGACTAATTAAAGGGCCTATATTCCGCCTTTTCCTTGTATTTTATTTGTCCCCCCTGGTGTCCACTTTTGCTCTAACATTTGTGTTGTTTTATATACTGAAAACAGTCATAATTCATTTATACATGGCCATTTTCAAACTCTCCTTAAGCCTTAGAATTTATCAGCCTGTTTTTGTTACCATACTTTTAACACAGATATATCGCTGTTGTCGGAAGAAAACCTTGTATCTCCAAAACAGTAACCTTGCAGGAGAACGAAAAAACCTACTATACTTTTAATGTAAGTCAACAGAACCAGACATTTTTACAAGTCATTTTGGGCTGTTTCTTTTGGTCCATTCTACATGAAATTTACACACAATGTAAAGGGCAACAGGCATTTTCAAATTATTTAAACTGAAAAACGACCAAAATGGAGATACGAGATTTTCTTCTGACAGCAGCGATATGTAAATGACCTCTGTTCTGATTGGCCGAAAGCTATCCAGGCTGAGATGTACAGAACACACTCCTGGAAAAGTACTTTTGTATGTGCAGATAATTTGGAAGGCTGTGATGATACATTTGCTTACTGAAAGCCAGAAGCAGCACAGTGTTATGACATCACAACCAGGATGAATTCAAAAAGGACTATAATATATGCACTGTAAGAACTGGGGAGTGAAAGGTATGTTTTCAAACTCTTAATTTGACAAAGTAAGTTTGAGAAAATTAGTTTTTCCAAGAACTGATTTCAGCTGACAACATTATGACACTACAAATAAATGTGTTTTTCATAAAAGTCTGAAAGAATACATGAGTGAGTGAGCGAGTGAATGCAAGACTGACTGGATGCTGGGCACAGCTGGTCTCTCGGGCCGTTCAGGTCGTTTGGGGGGCAGTGAGGAAGGACGATTCATTGAGTTGTTGTTCTTTGGGGGCAAAGGCTTCTTGGGAGGAAAGGCTGGCTTCTGGATCTCTGATGACTTTATCTCTTCACCTACACAATCATCATCATCATCACCATCATCACAGAAACCTTCATCATGCTAATAAAGTGAAAGAGAAATCATCCACTCTGCACAGACGAACTGCAACTAGAATATCAAAGTCTGTCTGTGGATTGACAAAAGCTGATTAACAGGAAAGAAAAGCACATGCTGTAAGAGCTATAAATGATCTCTTGTTTCTGCAAAAGGGAAGTAGGAGTCTCCCTCTCTCACTTACTCTCTCTCTCTCTCACATACACTCACACACTGTTCAGCAGGCAGCATGAAGCCTGAGTTATGGCAGTCAGAGAAGGGACAGAAGCAGAGTAAGAGCAGTGTTAAGCTGAGCAGGGTGATGCTGGTTGGGCTGCTGTTAGAGAAAGCCTCTTTGGCTACCTTTCTCCTCTGCTCGCTGTGGAAGGGTCTCCGGCCGCTCGGGGGGAACCTTTTTAACCTCCGGCTTTTTGTCTGAGGAGTGGTACACAAAGTATAGTCAAGGATAGAGGCTTGAAATGAAAGAGGCTTTAAGTGGGCCTAAATCTCTGTCTGACTCAAATCACATTACCAAATTTTAGAAATTAGCTTGACAAAATTCTGTCAAAACCCAACAGTAGCCCAAAAAAGTGCCCAAACTCGACTGTAGCCCGACAACATTTGTCCAAGCCCAAAATTAGCACAAAATTCTGTCCAAACCCAACAAAATTCTGTCCAAACCTGACCGTAACCCACCAAAATTCTGTCCAAACCCGACCGTAACCCACCAAAATTCTGTCCAAACCCAACTGTAACCCAACAGAATTTTGTCCAAACCCGACAGGTTTGTCAGTCGTAGAAATCTTTCCTTTTCTCAAATGCATTTCTTTAAACATGCAAAATTACCAGCTAATATAGTGAGATAATTTCACTTAAGATTAAAATGTCTATGCCTTCATTAAATAATATACTATTTTTACAACACTCTCAAATTGAGAAATATTAGATATAATCAACTAGATGAGTTCATATGAAGGTATCATGTTTTTGCAGTATAAATGGATATGCCACTCAGGAGGCCAGAGCCTCAATAATTAAAAATGTGCAACCAGGGAGCCCCATTCCTGTCCACACCTGCGAGTTAATCCTTATTCTGAACCTGGTCATAGCCCAACAAAACTCTGTCTGAACTCAACCTAAACCTGACCACCACCATCTGAAGACCAAATAAACCTCCACACACCTAACAATAGCATCTGCTGAGCTAGTTTGCAGCAACAATGACAGTCGTCATCAGCAATCAATCAGCTATTAGACATTCTGGCACCCTGGGCTTAGTGCACCTCACCACACCCCTGTGAATACATTTAACATTGCCATATATCAGAAAACCAGAACAGGATTTTTCTGTGTTTGTTTGCTTTTCAAGTTTCCACTTACGACTCAATTCATTCATATTTTCTCATATCATCCGGAGGTAAAGTAACAAAGTATGCTTTGCTAGCATGACTAGTTCAGCTTTAGCATGACTAGTCTCCGTGATTGTATGCTAATCATGAAAAGAGCTCACCGCAGTCATTTGAAACCTGATCTAAATCAACATAAGCATATTTTCAAGTAGCTTTTACTTTTATTCTATTCGCAATCATACCCGCACCCCCCCGGTGGCCGGGGGCCATGAGCTGCAGCCCTTACATTAACAAGGCCTTGGTCATCAGATCGATAATCAAAACAGAAATTCAGTAGTCAGCTGTAAAACTTTCACTTCAAATTCCACATGTACTAAAACAGGAGGTAAATCCAGGGCAAAATCCGTTTTGAGATGAGAACTTATGTGTGGAAAACCTGAACTGACGGTATCTTTATCTTTCTCTTCTTTCCTCTGCTTTTCTCTTTTGCTCGTGACTCCCCTCTCTCCTCTCTGGGGAGTCTTTAGGGAAGCAATTTGTAGGGACAGAGTTTTTGCACTGGCCTCAAAGCTCATTAGCATTCATGGAGCTTTGGGTGAATCTAGCTCTCATTACACTGTCAGTGGGCTGGTGGTAGGAATCCATTTCAGCCACAAGGGGGTCCCAGAGGGTTAATTACACTTTCCTTCCAACCTCATCATCCTTAACAGAGGTTCAGTGGCTTTGTCAAACTATTCTCTATTCACTATGTAGAGCAGTTACTCACTAACACACCCCCATACCGTGACAGATACTGGCTTCTGAACTTTGCATAGAGATTTCAACAGCTTCACTAAATCTTGTAATAACGTTATGGACTGTAGATGGTGAATTTCCTAATTTCCTTGAAACCATGTGTTAAGAAACATGGTAGTAGAGCCGTACGTTGCATGTGTAGATGCAGCAATGAACTGTTTACTGACAGGGATGTTCCTCAGCCCACATAGTTACACCGATCAGGCATAACATTATGACCACCTCCTTGTTTCTACGCTCATTGTCCATTTTATCAGCTCCACTTACTATATAGGTGCACTTTGTAGTTCTACAATTATAGACTGTAGTCCATCTGTGGAGCTGATAAAATGGACAATGAGCATCAAAACAAGGAGGTGGTCATAATGTTATGCCTGATTGGTGTATATCCTTTATAGAAGCAGGTTGATTTTTAATGCAGTGTCATCTAAGCGAGTTAGTTTTTCAACCTTGCCCTTTTAGAGATTTTGAGAGATTCTCAAAAGAGTCTTTTAATAATATTACGGACTATGGATGATAACATTCACCCAAATTCCTTAAAACCATGAGAAACATGGTTCTTAAACTGTTAGGACTATTCACTCAGTTTCTCTGTTATTGAGTGTCTATTGTTATTAATTCGGCAGCAAGTCCCGTCTTCTTCTGTGAGCTTACTGGCTGGTTGCAAAGCAGAAATCCGATTACTGCCTGGCTCATGTAGACCCAGAGTTTCCCATTATCTGATTACTTAAGTGCATATAAACGCGTTGATCAGATTACTGACAAAATCTGATTTTCTGCAGTTATCAGATTATTTAAGTGCAAGTAAACACACTCATTGATTAGGGGACCATTTCTATTCGTTATAACACTGCTTTCTATATAGTGATTCTGATTTCCCAATGTAGGGAATAGTGATTAATGGACTGTTCAAGTTCTTTATAACAGCATTCTATACATATTCTTCACAGATTATCCCTTGTTTCATATAAATATATTTGTACATAGCAAAGAGTTTTTTTTTTCTTACATAGGTCCATCCTGTCTCTATATTTGGTGTATATTTAATATATTTCAGTTTCAGTATTTTTCTTGTATTTTTATTTTTACTTTATTTACCTTCTGCCTCGCCACAAGCATTTCCATGCATGAATGTCCTGACATGTTGTGCAAATGACAAATAAACTTGAAACAGTGCAGTTGTGATTAGGGGACCACTTCAAATACGATGTCATTTGAGCTCAAATGATTGATCAATGATCACTGAGCATCCTATTTAAAAGGGTACAAAAATAAGAATGCGAAATAGAAACCATACAGGCACCAAGCACTGAGACAATAAACATGGGCAGATAACCATGGACAAACACATAGGCGGTTAAGCGGAATGTGAGAAACTAAAGCAAACGAGAGAGGAATAAAGATATGAGAGCGTATTACCTGTGATGTGTTTAGTTGTCGGTGCTGCTGGGGGAGGTGGTTTCTTAGGCCTCTGTAAGGACACACACACACAGAGTTAAAGACAAAGGCACACACACACACACATACACACACTCACAGGACCTATTAAAACAGAGCTCCTTTAGGCAACATAGCACTCAGACATCAAAGGACATGCAGCATTATCAGGCACAGGTATTCAGGGAGGCAAAGGAGCAGGACAGAAGGGTGTGTGTGTGTGTCCGTATTTCCATAGCTCTCACGCTGACCAGAGACTGAGGCCCTCAGTGGTGAGGGCAGCCAGCGTCCAGCTGCAGCCCTGGATGCAGCAGGAGTGTAACTGTGTTTGTGGGTATGTCTGAGAGCATAGAGCTTACCTCTTTTTCTGTCTCAGGAATGAACAGCTTCACAAAGTTGTCAGGAAACACACCCTTTTTACCGTTCAGCTCACCTAGCCACCAACCGGCATCAGCACAGTCCTGCACAAACACACACAAACACAATATGATAATAATAAAGCATAATAATACAGGTCTTATTTCAGTTTGGATGTCTTAGTGGAGAGAACTGTTTTCACAGCAGTTGGTTCTCACCCCTTCCCTTTCACACTTCACTGCTCTCTAGCAGCTCAACACAGAGCAACATCATTAAACAGAGAGCTAACAGTGTCTTAGCTAAACTAATAACAGAGTTATCGTTTAGTGAGTTTTGTGAAGTGTTAATTATCTGATACCAAACCTGAAAAAGTCACAAAATAATGTTGAAATGTTTATTCCAATAAATCTATCAGTAGAGCATAAATTGAGCTTAAGCTCAGTGTTTAAATGGTCTTTTTGGCTGTGCAGAGCTGCTGTGCAACCCTTCTAGACTGGTGTTTGGCAGCCTTTAGATTGCTGCAGGAGTATTACATTCAATGGATCATACATACTACAATCTATCACCCAATACAGGCTATGAAGGCTAGAGTCCATGTATTAAATGTTTCTTAATTATAAGCATATAAATATAATAAATAGCTAATAAATATAACAAACATATAATGTTAAATAAATGCCAATTTGCTTCTCAAAACTTTGAATTACAATTGAATCTTTTAGATTTTCTCATCACATTTTTGTGCAGCTTTAAATGGACACACTGAGCAAAACAAAGCATCAACTAAAGGGTACACAAGGTTGTTGCCATTTTTGTCACTCAGCTTGCATGTGTACGTGTCTTGCTCTCACTTCCCCTCTAAAAGTACCTTGTTGCTGGTACTGTTGCCATAACTGATTCATTGTTTAACTGTTTATGCAGTGACTTTAGCTGGAAGAAAGACTTCAGTGTAAGAATGTAATAAGTCAGGATGCATCAACCTTTTTTTTCAGGCTGAGTACAAGTATATATTTTTTAGTATCCATGTACTAAATGTACTTCACATGCTACCTGAAACGCAGCTCTACACACAGCTCTGTCTATGGACACTTTTCAATAAAGCAGTTTCATTCAAAACAACACACCGCATATCGAGTAAAGAGTAAGCATTGTGAGAAACTGAGCTACAGCAAGCTTGGCTAACCACACTGTGCACTGAAATGTGAATGGTAGGAAAATATGGTCTGTCTACAGCCAATTTTACAAAGATGGTGCAAAAAAATCACCGTGTTAACGTTTACGCCTCGTAACTCTTTTCAGTCAAACAGAGTGAGAGTCGGCATATACAGACTTTGGTAGCACATGTTTTTTGCCGCCGTTTTGCTCACCTACGTGTCTCCACCAGCACTGGGGAAGTGGCTGTGATTGTGACTGTGTGTGTCTAAAAACGAACAGCGAATTCCTGGTGGGAATGTTTAAAGTGACCGGACAACTCTGCGTCCGACTGCCACGGGGTCAGCAACGCTGTGTGAGCAGACCCTTGTCCACTGCCAGCTTGAGTCTGTTTATTAGTGCAGCAGTGTACACACAGGGTATCAGCTGGTATCGGATGTTAGTATCAGGGAATGTTTATGAGGTCAAGTACAAGAAAATGAGAATGGTACCAAGCTGATACCAGATATCAGCTAGTAATAAGGTTTCGACTTTAATTGATACCTTATAGCAGATTTTGCTCTTTACACCATCAAGTACAATCATAAACGCAATGACATTTTGCACAGCCATATACAAATATACAAATAATACAACATATAAATACAGCACACCCACGTCTCACCCATCAGCTATAATTTATTATTATTATTGTTATTATTACTACTATTATTATTATTATTATTATTATTATTATTATCATTGCCCTTACTAAAAAAAAGTTTTATGGCAAAAATGGTGTCATCATCTCCCAATCATACATAAATGGTGTATCTTATCAGAAGGTCAGGCAGGCCGTCAGCAAACTTTAAGGAGACAGTCATTTCTGTTTTGAAATGCTAGTTAATGAAGGCGATGAGAAAACTCAAATTTTTTACGGAGCCCTGCTGGTGACATCCCATCTAAATAAAAATAATGTGTGGCCACAGCCTATTAACACGTGGGAACGAGATCCTAAACACAACAAGTTGTGGGAAAAATTAAGTCATGGCTACAACTTAGCAAGGTGTGAGAATGACATAATTAAGCCTTGACCTCAGCTTAATCAGGCATGGTCTCGTTCCCACGCCTTAGGATCTCATTCCTAGGCGTTAATACGGCGTGGCCAAGCATTTAAGCAATTTTGGCCTATTTATTGTGACATTTTCACACAATGTAAAGGACAGCAGGCCCTTTCAAAAGATATTTAAAAAACTGAAAAAAGTTGATGATCCATCCATCTGTGGCCTGGATCAAGGTGTGGATCTGACAACGAATTTGTATTAGTGTACCATGAAGGGCTAGCATTGCTTTAGTAAGCAGGAAAAAATCAGTTAGAAGGGAGGGGTGGGTGATATAGCAAAAACACAGCGTCACGATACTTCAAGACAATTTCACAATACACACCAAGCAACATAAAATATGAAAAAAATGAAACAAATTCCAGAGTTGGAACAAAATAAGTTGGAACGAAATGCACCAACAGTGCCATATATTAAAAATTACTGTGTAAATCAACAGTACAAGCATTTTTATTTAATGTGTCACACACTGCACTGCCCTAAATGCAATTAAACTGGACTGATTATGTTCTCTTTGTAATTAAACATGTTTTCATGACACTGGTCATATCCACAATATGCTCAGAAAAGCTTATTGTGACGAGATTTTTCATGATGATCAATAACAATTCCACCTCTAATAGAAGGCCTACAGTGTGACAGTCCAGATACCAGGAAGCATGTCTTGTTTCTCACACACACACACACACACACACACACACACACACACACATTTATAGTGATTTAACTTCACTGTACAATTTTAGATGTAGATACTCATGGATTGTCCAGTTTTTGTAAGTAATGAAACACTCTTGCTCACCTTATTAATAATGGTGATAATATCTCCCTCCTTGATTGACAGCTCATCCTCATTTTGGGCATCGTATGGGAACAGCACTTTGCACAACTCTTTTGCTGTGGACAGATTCAACAAAGCAGGTCTTTATCAAGTGGAACTGATCTGATTAATGATCAACCACTAAACTAACTGGCCTCATCCCGTTACCTTTGGCCTTGTTCTCAGGCTCCGTCTTCATGGTTTCCGGGGCAACAGCTGGGGCTGGTTTTTTAGCTGTCGGTTGCTGTGGAAAGAGGAGGACGAGGTCAGTTACTCATCGCAAACAGTCACACCCGTTTCCATAAGTCAGGCCTGAGTGTATGCCTACTAAATATTTCAGCTACTTAATATCATGATATTAGGTGAACATGACAAAACAGTATGTATCACAATTTTTCGTTTCTCCAGCAGTGGCAGTGATTCCTCCCCAACTTAGCCTATCTAATTCCACTACATCTCCCTCGCTAGGTATCACACCATGCTACAAAGCTGCGAGGGTGAAGGCTAGCAGTTAAATGTGAAGCACCACATCCTTTCAAACTGCCGCTAATGCAATGTCATTGGACAGCTCAACACGCTTGGAGGAGAACTTCCAGGCACGGATGGCTGTGGCATCGCCAGCAACAGGGCCAGTGCTTGGATTGCTGCACCATTTGGAAATCACAATTTGAAAAAGAAAGGAATGTTCGAATTGCAAGAGCTGCAATTTTTATTATTGCCTACATTATTAACCACATTAACACACTGGCTGCTTTCCAAAGCTTAGGCTGCACTTCTCGGCCGCTACGCCATAGAAGGCTGTTAGAAAGTGAAGGACCCTTCTCTGCGCACAAACAACGTGAAGGAAAAAAAAATAGCACCAAGAAAATGACAGAAACAAAGCCATTGGAGCAGAGCTCGTTTTAAAATGTAAGTTGTTCACAGCCTTGAATTTGTCTTCGTTAACTTATAAAGTGTAAAATGATAAGATTAATTAAAGCATTCGTCCATATATCGTATATCATCCATATATTGCAGCTGAAGTCTAAAGTTTTAAGTGGGGAAATTTAACCTAATCAGACAGAGCTTGTGCAGTGTCTGTAGATGAGTCCAATCACAAGCAACCAATCAACCACAGACAGTCAGGCACAGCTGGTTCAGCGCTCAAGCAAAAAAAAGAAGATATTCTGGTTTTCCTGTCCAAAAAAACAGATCTGAAACTCAAATCACAATTAGATACTTTAACCCTACCATCCACCGCAAGATGTTCCTTTATAGCCACTGTTGCAAAGCTTCATAGAATGTTCAATCTTTTTCAACACAATGAGATTGAGCACTAGTGCACTATTCCTAGTGCATAACTCCTACCTCACTAAGAGTGTTATTAATTTCAATAATGTTTTGTATGCATGTGAATGGACACATTGCTAAGATCGATAGAGTGTAGGTTTATTTTGTCATGAAATCAAGCTACTCTAACACGGAAGAAAATTCTTCGTCATTTCCAATCTGCCTAGTTTTGATTAGCTACATTATCACAGTCCAACTATGTAAGGTAGCATTTTAAACTGGAAACGCAACATTATGAGACTCTAAACTCCAACCTAAACTGTAAAGCTTGTCTGTTGGGCAGGGCACGAATTTTGTCCTTTTATGGTACACGCAGTCTAGAAGCACTGACGATACTGATGAAAAGTGTATTTAAGCAGTAGAGCATGCGAGGGAGCTTGTTAAAACTCCTGTAAAGCTATTTGCAAAAACACAAGATCTTAAATGTTTAATTGCTTTTATACAACAGCTCTGCAAAACAAAGAAAAACGTAATGCAAATAAACCCCTGACATTGTACCAGATGGGCTTTAATGTTGGCAATTCCTTAAGCCACAAAAGAAGTACACTTTTGCGTTACGCTTATGCTAACCATACCCTAGAAGACTTTGAGAAGAATTTATAAAGACTTCTGAAAGACTAAAGTCTGACACCCTCTCACATCTAAAGACAATGTCACAGTTTTTAGTCACAGACTATGATTTTGCAAAGACTGGGGATCTTGCAGGGTCACTATTTGCAAGACTGCAACAAGGTTTTTGAGTTTATTTCCCATCAAGCACCTGGTGGAAATTTATAATCAGATAAACCCGTTCCTTCTACTATATAATGATACAGATTGGAAAATACGTTGGCTATAGATATAGGGCTCAGCACAGCTCACTGTAGAACTGTATACTCTGACAGATCATCACCCAGAATCTTTTCATTAACCTGTAAAATGTGCAGTTACATTTTAAATTTGATATGAAGATTTACACAACAAAACATGCAGCGATTCAGCATTGTTGATTGGGTGTTATGAACTAAACCATAAGAAATAAACTAAGAAACCACTGTAACAGGAAGCAAAAAACAGCAAAAAAAAACAAAACATTGATGATTCTTCAGCAATGCTATTCTTAAAGTCCTCTGCACATTTCCTTACATCACTGTTACGCTCAGTAAACCTGAAATATTAAAACAGAAAAGTAAGGCTGGCATTAGAGCCATAAAACTGGCACAATATCAGGTTCAGCTTTTAATATTTTTGCCAGATTAATGTGAATGTCGTTCTAGCTAGTTTGTAAGGACTTTACAGCTCATCTGGCTAACTCCAGTTTGTCTTCCTTCATCACAACTGTCAAAAGGAAAGGTTGATGGTCGGAATTTGACGTAGTCCTGCTGTCATAGTCTTCATAGTCAAACTGGCTGCAGCTTGAAATTTCTTATACAAGTTAAATTTGTCCATTTTCTGTGTTGTATGTGCTAAAGTAGAAATGTAGTAACAGCAAGCTGCAGCATATGTCAATTGCTACTGAGTGGCCAGTGCTTAGCGGATTGATACAGTTATCATAAAAAAAAAGTGTTATCACAAATGTCAGCATTGGTAGGACACTTCTCAACCAATCAGACTGTGCCATCAGACATAACTGTCGATTAATGTGTCATTTAAGATGATAAAGATTAATAGCTGTCATACTGCCCATCTCTGTAGCTACGGTGTAAATAATGTAACTTGGGAGAGGCAGACAGACAGAAAGAGAGAAAGACAGACAGAGAGAGAGTGAGTGAATAGCATACTGTACATAAGGCCACACTCCTTCCACAAACATGAACCAGGGGATCCCTTCCAAGTTCACATAAAACAAGCTCTTTAACGCTGTGTGTGCTCAGAGCTGCTCGAATACGCACACATACACACACTCTCACACTCGCTGCTCTGTTCACGCAGGAAAAAACGTCCCTCCTTCAACTCTTCCCTCTCCTCCACCCTCTTCCTCTCTCTCTCTCTCTCTCTCTCTCTCTCTCTCTCTCATTTAGGCCGGCCATGGCGGAGACCAGCTAACAAGTCTCATGTGGCGGACGAGCATTAAAACAACGTTACTGGGACATCTGAGCAACATCTGGATCCTGGACAGGCCCCTGAGGGCCTAGGCTGCTCATTGGCCCCCTCGCCGCGACCCTCACTTCCAGAACATGTGAGACTACATCCCCTAAAATCATCTTCATCATTGTCACAACAACGGCCACAACACTAAAAAGCCTTAGCAACAGCTTTGAGCTACAGATGTAGCCTCAAAGTGGTTTTAATCAGCTCTGCTCTTTGCAGGAAGACTGAAAAACAGCAGAGAAGAAGGGAAAAGGCTAGAGAGAGAGGGAAGGAGTGATGCAGGCAAGAAAATTAAAAACATACAAGCAGTTTTTTTTTACCTGGTGCTTGTCCTTTCAAAGACAGTCCATGTTAGCAAAATTCGCTTAGTGAAAAGCTCCAGGTGAGTGAGCCTCTGTGTTTGTGCATGCGTGTGAGAGAGTAATAGCAAGAACAGCCCAGGAACTTTCAGTCTTGATGCAGTTCACTCCCCCACTGAGTCACACGACACACTTCTGCTTCAGCGCAGAGAGAGAGAGAGAGAGAGAGAGAGAGAGAGAGAGAGAGAGAGAGACAGAGAGACAGAGAGACAGAGACAGACTAAGGGGGAGAGAGGTTTCAGGGGGTGTTGGGGGCAGGGTTATGGAAAGCAGGCTGTTTCAAAAAACGTGGCCAAATTTGTATGTGGGTAGTCCAGGCTAATGTGCTAGTAACTCACATTTGCAGAGCTGGATCTCCAGATTCAGCACAGCGTTGTATGTTTGATGGAAATATGATGTCATGCAAAGACAGTAGCAGTCCAAAATTTGGACACACCCACTCATAAAAGGCTTCTTCTAGAGAACACACAAAAAAAAGTGTCTCTTCAAGGGTTCTTGAGTAAAGGCAGTGGTTAAATATAGAACCTTGACACTTCAAAGAACAATTTGTATGCATGAATGGTTCTTTGCATGGTTAAATGGTTCTTCTCTATATCAGAGAAATAGAGGTGCTAAACTGTCACTGGGGCAGGACCCTCTTGTCACTCAAGGGAACATCTCAGAACCTTTAGTCAGGGAACATAACTGTACCATAAACCATTGAAATTATATTTTCTAAGTTGTATTGGCTCCACACACCCCGTCTCGTCTCCAGACTTACAGTGTATGAGAGAAAATCTGTTATATAGTGGTCTACAAAGAGTATAGTCATAGCTGTAATCATAGAACCTTTTTAGGTAAGAGTGTAAAATGCTTCACAATAATACCAGATTACAGGGATTTAAGCCAATCCTCGACTACAGTTTCCATTCAGTGAAGAATCCCCCCATCAGGACGCAGTGTAGTCCAGAACTAGGCTTAATCTCTATTTGGGAAACTTTCATTTCATTATTCTTAGAGAAAAAAAAAAACAGTCTGAGTCAACAAGTCCTCTGTTTTGTAATTCACTGGAATTGTTGTCTGTGGTAACTGACCACATGCCTCAGACACACCAGACAGAGATTCCTTTAATGACTCTGAAAAACACATTCAATTACATGTGTCCATATTCTTGACGGCTTCTTTAGTTAGGACCCCCACAGGACCCCCAAAAAGCAGGTATTATTTGGGTGGTGGATCATTCTCAGCTCTGCAGTGACACTAACATTGTGGTGGTGTGTTAGTGTGTGTTGCGCTGGTGCGAGTGGATCAGACACAGCAGTGCTGCTGGAGTTTTTAAACACCTCAGTGTCACTGTTGGACTAAGAATAGTCCACCAACCAAAAACATCCAGCCAACAGCGTCCTGTGACCACTGATGAAGGACTAGAGGATGACCAACACAAACTGTGCCGCAGCAGATGAGCTGTCATCTCTGACTTCACAGCTGCAAGGTGGACTGACAAGGT